TACCCATCTTTTTGGCTATAACTTCTGATTTATCTAAATTTATTTTGTAACCGGATACTCTAGAGCAGGAGTAGGCAACCTATGGCACGTGTGCCATGCATGGCACTCAAGGCTGCTCGGGCCAAACCTGCTCTGGCCTATCAGGAGTCCCAGTGAAACTTGAGATGTCTGCTAATACAAAAAGGGGGTGAAGGACAATCCTCAACGTATGCATTGCAGCACGCAGAGGAAGTGAGCTCAGATCACTTTCTCCTTACACTTGTGAACGGGAGTCCACACTGTAGTAGAGCAGCCCAAAGCTGCTGTTGCAGCTCCTGTCCTTGTCCTTCTCTGTGTCTGTTGATATGAGCGTGAGTGGGTTCCCCTTAGTCTCTGTTGCATCCAAAATATCTATTATTTTCCGGATATTGTTAACTGATGACCGACCTGGAATAAAACCAACTTGGTCATTGTCAATAAGATCTGGTATGACAACTTTCAGTCGATCCGCAAGAATCGACGAGAATATTTTGATATCTGTGTTTATCAATGAAATCGGTCTAAAGTTGCTTATCAGTTCTGGATCTTTTATTTAGTTTTGGAATTGGATCGATATTTGCTCCCAATAACTCTCCAGGGCCTGTATTTATCATATGGCTAAAAACATTTACAAGTTCTTCTTTTCATTGATCTTTCATAATTTTATAAAATGTATTTGTAAGGCCATCTGGTCCCGGGGCAGTTTTTCTTTAAGTTTATCTATTGCTTTAATAACTTCTGTTTCTGATATGGGTTGGTTTATTGCTTCTGTTTGGTCGGGTAGAATTTGGGGAATTTTTATCTTTTCAAAGAATTTTTGGATTTCTTCATCATTACTAAATAAATCCTGTGGTAGATTATATAGATCTGTATAAATTTTTCAAATGCTCCACCTATGTATATATTTTTTTCCCTTATTCTAGATATCACTCGTCATAAGTGCTTCAGGTTTATTGCCTTTATGATACCATTTAGATTGAAAAAATTCTAAAGTTTTTGCCATTTTATTGGATAACTGTACATTTATATTCTGTTCTATTTCTGATATTTTCTTTGCTATTTCTGTAGAAGGTGTTATTTTATTCTGTTTCTTACATTCATTTAGTGCTATATATAGCTCTGAATGGGGGTCCTTCTTTGTTTTTCATTCTAGCTGCCATCCCCATCAAGTGGCCTCTAATTATGCTTTTATAAGCGCACCATACTACAGTATGCAATGTCCCCTTATTATTATTTTCCCAAAAAATTGTTCAGTTAATTTTTTTATCTGTTCAATATTATAATTTTTGTATAATATATAATCGTTCAATTGCCAGTCTTTACGAAACATATCAAAAACGTCTTTGTAATCTAATATGATTGGGTTATGGTCTGACCATGTTATATCCTGTATTACAATCTTTTTTAAAGATACAGCATGGCCACATCCCCCAAAATAAGGTCAATTCTGGAGTAGGAATTTAATGTTTTTGAATAACATCTGAAGTCTGACTCCAAGGAATGAAACGTTCTTCCTATATCCCTAACTTTATATTGATCTATCAAATTTTGTAGTCTATCTGAAGATCCTTTATTGATCCCTTTTCCATTATAGTTCTTCCTATCTTTAAAAGGGTCTATTACACAGTTGAAATCGCCAATCATTAATAGCACCCCCTGTTTGATTTGATGTATTTTCTTCATAATTTTTGTTATAAATTTTATAGTACACTTATTAGGTGCATATATATTAGCTAGTGTAAAGAGTTTATTGTTTATTTCACACACCAGAATAATATATCTTCCTTCTATATCGAGATCTTGATATTTAATATTTATGGATATATTTTTTGAGAACATAAAGGCCACCCCCCTTTTTTTTCTTTTCTTCCAGAGCTGCGCTTATAATAAGCGGATATTTAACAGATCTTAATTTTGTCAGTTTTTATCCAATGTGTTTCTCGTAATGCACAAACTTGTATTTGGTTTTTCTTCCAGAATTAGAGATCTTTTAAATGGTGAGTTAATCCCACAGGCGTTCAGTGGTGCTAACTTAATTTAACAGTATCTGCCAGCTCAAATGGCTCTCTTTCTCTAATTTGAACATCAGGGCTCTCATAATGTAGGGTATATATATATATATAAAAAAGTTAAAATTACACACATAGACAGGCTGGTCCTAAACAAAGGAATCAGCCTAAGACTCAGCTTATGTATAGCACAAACTCCTTACAATATTTTATCTCGAGCAATATACCTCATTGCTCAGATAATGGACCCACCTAACCTATGGGTAAGCGTGCTGGGAAAAGAAACACCCGAGTTGCTACCTAAACATCTAATGGGTATCACACTGAACAAACAGCCACGCAGAAGAAACAATAGATCAATCAATAATAGAAAAAGGGACATCATAAAAGAAAGGAATGGCTTCACCCCATCACTCTACCAAAGAGCCCTTAGGACAATACTCTATAAAATTCTAAACTTTACAAAAAAATAAAATAAATACATTAAAAAAAGAACCTTATTCAATCCAATCTGGTGAATAAACCATTCCATAAAATGTATTAAAAAATATATATTTTAACTTCATAGTGCTATTTCTTTTTGCCCACTTCCTTTACACTTTTCCCTTTACTTGAATAAATCTTCATAAGTCTATTAATCCCTCCTAATTTGTTGGTGAACGTATGTAACATTTCGTCATAAGTGTATATTAATTTAGCACCTCAAACTTTGGTCAGTGTTTTTTAACTTGTGAGTCAAAAAAAAAAAAAATATCTTCAAAACACCTGCTGTCTGCCATTTCTAAGTGTATTCATTTTTATTTTACTAGTGTATATTTTTTCCTCTTTATATTGTGTACCTCTCACTATCATCCTTTATCACTACGTCTGAAGAAGGTGGCCATTTTTCCCTCTTTCGTCTCTTCCTCCTCTCTTCCCCCCTTCCTTTCTTTTTGCTTTATTTTTCTAATTTCTCCCCCTTTTCTCCATTGTCTCCTTCCGTTCCCTAGCAAGCTATTCATTACTTCTTCTTTATATCTCTTTACTTAGAGTCATCCATCTTTTAAATGCTTCTGCCGTACTGAAACTTAAGATCTTGCCTTCATGTAATATAAAGATCTTTGTAGGGAATCCCCACCAGTATTTTGTATTCTTGGATCTAAGTACTGTTGTACTATTTGCAAAGGTCTTCCTCTTCTGTCTGGTGTTCCTAGATCCTGGTAGACCTTTAGCTTTTCATACTCTCCTGAAAGGTTAGTTTTTTTCAGTGATCTCAGGATCTGTAACTTGAGTCTCAAAGAGGAGCAACAAATCAATATGTCTCTTGGAAGGTGATCTGGTATGCCTTTTGGCTTGTTAATTCAGTGACACCGTTCCGTCATAGGGCTTTTAATATCCCATTCCACGTTCATATATTTGAAGAATTATTCTATATATGTTTCCAATTCTGTTGTCTTTATTTGTTCTGACACACCTCTAATTCTTAGATTGTTCCTCCTTGATCTGTCCTCCAGATCTATAATTTTATTTTCCAGGTCCAATATTTTTCTTTCCAGGATAACATGTTCTTCCTGGTGGGAGTTGCTCACTTGTTCGATAATCTAAAATTTTTCTCCAATACTCTGTATCCTTGGGACTAATAAGGAAAGGTCTCTCTTGATGTCCTGTGTATTCACTTGCATTTCCTCCTTCATTTTCTCAAATTATGTGTCTAGATAATAGATTTTCTTTCTTGTCTTAAGTTATCATATGCTTTGTGTACTACTCATTTCTCCTGTCCTGTTGCTCAGCGTTTTGTTTTAGTTTTTTTGTTTATTTATAAATTGCTCCCTTGGGGCACGTCTGTTTTCCTGCAGGACCTCTCGATCGAAGAGCCCTTATTTTCCCCTCAATCAGCCTTGGAGCTGCCTCCAACACAAGCTTCTCCTGCACTCCCTCTCCTCAACTCAAGCATTCCCCAGTCACACACCACGAGGACGTCGGCTACGTGTGCCTTTATCATGGCTCCTCCCCCCCCCCACAAAAATTTGACTTGAGATCACTGTTTCACTTTGCCAAAGCAGTTAAAAAAAAAAATCACATTTTTAATGAGGCCAAAATCTACCAGATGCGTTAAAGTTGTACTGGTGCCCAGAGTATCTATTTAAATTTGAAATTCACTTTGAATTTTCACTTCTATGAGCGTATTTTTGTATGTATGTGTTTTGTATATATTTTGGTCTTTACAGCAGCCCCACTGCTGAGCAATGCATATTGTTTTTACAAAATAACCCTGAGTCCTGCTTTAATCCTCCAGGCTCCCATTTTATCCTATCGGCATGACATTAACTAGCATATAAATACCCAATGCTAGCATAATATGTATGCAATATTTTTTTATTTGTGTGACTTTGTGTGACTCAGCATTGATCACTGTAGAAGTCATAAGGCAAAATCTTAAAAATGATTACTTTTTGTATACTAAACATATAAACTGAGTTTCCAAGGAAACAATCTTTCTATTCAGCTACAGGTCAAGTGGGACAACTAATGAGAACACATTAGTAAAGTGATACAGTAAGATATTTAAAGTACTTCTGAATTAAATTATAACAACCAACTATGTATAAGTAAATCAGCTTAAAGGGACACTTTTAGCGTCATAACAATATTATTATGTCTGGAGTGTTCCTTTAATCATTATTAATGTGACTTGTTTGAACACACACAAAATACTTTTATTGTATTAAAGTGACCATAGTGTTGCTTTAAAGATATTTGTGAAAAAATATTTTACCAGGAAATACATTGAGATTTCTCTCGTTTTCAAGCTTTGTCTGTGTTTATGATGTTGTTGGGCCCACGTTGTATGTACTCTTTCTAGCCTAGGGTGTGTCTATTTTTCACAATCATATTAAATGTATTATGCGTATCTAGTATTTCTTGAGGATATGTTCAGTAAACATACACACAATAAAAAAAAATAATGCACTCCAAGTATGTTTTGATATAACTAGGTTTATTACTTTTATAAGACTTTTATCATAAATTTTACTTTTATTTACAAAACAGAAAATAAAAAAAATATTTATGACTCCAAATAAAACAGGGATCTTTAAAAACCATCTGGCACAAAATAATTTTTATTAAAAAAAACAAACCTTTACAGTGAATGATGAACAAAATGAGATTGAAGCATACTGTGAATACGTGACAGATGGGGTCGTTTTTATCATCACCACAGTTGAATCAATCATATATTCTAGTGGTTTGTTCACTAAAAAGTAGAATTTATTTCATAAACTACAGTTGAGCCAATCTGCAAATCTGTGAAACTCTCCTATTTTGTCCCAGGTCTGTACCCAAACCGTTTTACAACTCACTGTTAAATGAATTGTCCCCTGTAGGTGGCGGGTTCTTGATAATGGAGCTGCAAAATGTAGGCAATTTTCAGATTTTGCTCTTATCAACCTGACTATTTGCCGCTAAGTATTTCAACTATTCTGTTAACAAGTTCGGCATGGTTTACCACTCGATTAGACCTCTGTATGGACTGTCTGTGATAAACAGATTTGTGATAGAGACTGCTTTGTTACCGAAGGGATTCATAGTGGAGAAAGTAGCATCAAAAAAATCCAGGAACAAATTCTGAATATTTAGTGATTGTGCGACTTGCTGTGTGCACAAATAGAGAACATTCAAGCTGACTCCTCCGTTTCAATAGACAATAAGCATACTGCATTTATATACATACATATAGAAAGCATATAATGAATGTAGAAACCACATCTTATGTTGTTGTTTTTTTGTCTTTGTACAAATTACATTAGAAACCACAAACACAATACATCCCATTAATGTGCAGGTAAATACTAAACAGGCTCATCCCAAGATCCCAAGACACCCTATGAAGTACATCCTCAATAGTATTAATATAGAAGCTGTTTCACTTTGTACACTCATGATAGGTAACAGAGAACTGTATGGATGTATTCCTCTCTGGGTAACTGCTGCAAGCTATATTACTTACTACCCAAAACAACTTACGCTGTAGTGTACGTTGATTATTTGCCTTTACAGAATCTAGAACAGATACACTTTAACAAGTGGCCATAACTTTTTTCTTCATCAGTCTGGAGCAAGCAGATACACTGCTGTCCCTTGTAATCCTTCACCAATCCATAACATAATATATTGGGGTTGGCTGCCACTGGTTTTCCATCATATTCCGAGAAAAACTAAATATAAAATAGCAGATATTTTTACATCAATCCAGAACAAATTGACATATTGCAGCCAGCAATCTCTACTTTATTTCACAAATCCAAAACCAGATACAGTGTAGCAGACAGTTGGTACTTATCCTTCACACATCCAGATTCATCATATACAGTTGAGCCCACTGTCCCTACTTTATATTAATCAATTCATTCGCAACCAGATGACTTGTAAGAACATTGCCCACATTTCATCATTACAAACAACCCCAAGTAGCAGGTAAGCCATATGTCTATTTCTCTGAATTAGAACAGCCAGATACATTGCAGAATGCAGTCCCTAATTCGCCTTCACTAATTTAAGATCAGATATGTTGTATCAGGCAGTTCCTACTTCTCATAGTAATGTAACAGGTAAACCCTAGTTCAGGGTTAGGCAACCTTCGGCACCCCAGATGTGTGGACTACAGCTCCCTGGATGTTTTGCCAGCATAGTTCCTTGTCACCAATCCAGAAAAAAACAAAAAGTAAACAATGAAATTGAAAGGCATTACACAAGTGATTGTGATGCATTACAAAGTGATTTGTCAGCCCAGCAGTAGTAGATACATTGTAACATGCTACTATGGTTTATCCATCCCCAATCTAGAATGTAAGAGGAAAATGCATCTCAGTCTAGAAAAGTCAAAAACTGCCTCTTTCAATCCAGAACAATTAGAAATAAGTATCAAACCGTGCTTCTCTATCGCCAGACTAAACCAACTCCATGCATTATTGCAAACCATGCTTACTAACCCTTATGCAATCCAGAACAAGATACAATGCAGCAGACAGTTCCCACGTTCTCTTCCCCAATCCCTCTGGTTTTTACATTCTGTGGCACCCTTTCTTGTGCTGTAATGTGCTCTAAAAAAATACCTTGTCAGCTACCATTGACAGATGTGAATTTACTAGGAGCAGTTACCTGAGCCTAGAACTCTGTCTTGTGCAGATTCATCCTTTTTCTAGTCTAACCGCTAGTGATGCTCTAGACTTGAATGGATTAACGGTGTCAGGAGTCTAGTAGACTTCTGGGAATAGCCCTACATTCACCTTTTTTTCCTGAGGTTTTTTTTTATTTTTATTTCTCCTGAAAAATCTGTATTCTTCAGGGTCAGGCTGGCATATTATTATTATTATTTATTTTTGTACTATATAGCTAGATATTCCTATGGAACAAATGTATATATGTATATATTCCTATGTATGCACACCTAAATGTTGGAACGTACTTTAGTTTGGGCCTGCAGTTCGAAAACTTATCTAAAACTATCTGCAAATCTACTTATCAAACACTGGCAGGCATGGATCTGCAAGTCAAATGACGAGATTCTACAGCTCAGAATGCTTTGCTTGAGGGCTATTCTAGTATCCTTTTTGGGCAGACAACTTAACCAAATTGTGCCAGCCTTTAGAGTGGTATCTGTGTGCCATGCTTTCCAGCCAGTATCAACTGTATTCTGTGCAATTTCAAAGCTGCATACATAGGTGTATGCATAATTATATGTGCAGCTGGAGGTCTGAAGGTGATTTATGTGGTTTTTCATAAATATAACCCTACATTAAAGTATCAGTAAAGTGTTTTATATATATATATATATATGTAAATCTATACAGCTCTGATATACAGTAAGTAATTAAATATGCTGCAGTGCAAGGATTTATCACTAGAGACAATCTCTGCTTATCCTCGACAGTCTGCCGCTCTGAAAACTTTTTTAACTATCCTATACTCCCTTGGGTGTAAAAAATATATATTAGATATAGCTTTAGATAATATGATTTTATATATGGTTTCTTCTTTCGTGTCTTCTTTACTAACAGCCCTTAAAACAGAGAATAAATGTCATTCTTAACAAAAATCTTTTAGTATGTGTGTGTATATAAACATATATATCACTTACACACATACAGATTGGTCTAGAACTTACACAAACTGTTAACCCACTAGAGAACATGATGTGTTTGGTGAAGACGACAGATGTTGCATTTTACTGCACATTCAATAGTCCTTAAATATTAATACAGCAGGGTATAATGGGAGCAATAATTTCACTGCTGGCCTTGTAGTAGCTGAGATTCTTTATTACTTTTTAACTCCTTTACTACAAAGCTTGCAGAATTTTAATGAGGAACTGCTTCACTTTGCAAATTACCAAATATCCCTATGTAGGCAACCCATATCCCATTTCCAGCCCTAGTGTATCGGAAGGTTGGTTTCTCAAGCTGAGAGACTCAGGCGATAGAGGGCTGAGTAATGCTCTTTTGGCTGGAGCTCTTTCGGCTCAGTACAAAGGTAGAGGAGTTGCTCTTTCTGCTTGCACTCAAGTCACTCCCCTGCTGGCTGGATTTCAGGTACCGGGCTGAGCAGCATAAGAAACGCTGCATGAGGTCGTGGAACAGGTTTCCAGTAAACAGCATGTAGATCCATGGGTTACAGCAACTGTTAAGGCTTCCCAGTAGCATGGCGATGATAAACAGGGAAGCTGTAGTGTGGATAGAGAGAGGAATAAGAAGAGTGTTTATGTATTTCTTCACACAAGAGATAAACAGAGCAAGAACAGTTCATGTCACATTACATTTTTCCTACTCTATCAAACTCTACACTGCAGTTATGTTTGAAAACTTCTGCAGTACCTTTAAATGGAATGATGAATATATTAACATCACAACACGTGGAACTCTTACTGCTGGAGACCACTTCACCCACACAAACTACTGTATCAAGATGGCATCTCCCGATTAGTGAGAATTATTTTAAACCAAATGATAATGTTTTGAAATAGAAAATCTAAAATATAAGTTTGGGTTTCTTATCAGAATACCAATTATATACACAACCCCTCCTTTTTATGTAAATAATTATCCTTATTCTGGGAGAGAAAACACACTTCTGGAATGCAAATCAATTCAACCAATTCAAGCAGGTTTTTTTATACTCCTTCCCCCCACCCCCCTGATGACTTCTCTCCTGCAACTGTCAAAAATAACCTACCAAGTCCTCAGTGAATATTTTCTAGCAACCTACTTCGTTACCCCTACTTTTACCCTTTGTGTCACTATACCCCACTCCCTCTAGCATGTAAGCTCATTGAGCCGGGCCCTCAACTCCTCTGTTCTTGTGCGTCCATTTGTCTGGTTACAATTACATGTCTGTTTGTCCACACATTGTACAGCGCTACAGAATCTGATGGCGCTATATAAATAATAAAATAATAATAATAATAATAATGTAGCTGGAATGATCATACAACTGGATTGTTACAGTTTTGTTCACGTCAGTATATAGTAATATAACAGCAAAGATTGATATTGAGGAATTGCGGGATAATACATAATTTATTTGCAAAATGGCTTCATGAGTCAGAGAGAAAATAACAAGATTGGCAGCTGGCAAACAGATGTACACATATATCTATGATTAGTCTTTGGCATATGTGATTTGAACAATCAAACTTACTCTAGATCAGCGTTTCCCAATTGGTGTTCCGCATTGACTTGCCCACAATGCACTTAGGACCACCTGATGGGCATTGCTGCACAGGGACCCGGTCAGCGCCACGGCCGATTAATAGCTACGGTCCCGGTAGTATGGGATGCTGGGAGGAAGTGACGGACGGTCACTTCCTCCCAGCTTTATATAGAAAACGCCGCTGGAGGGAGAGAAGCAGCAGCCAGGAGTGAGCAGCACCTTCCAAACACACCAGCCTCAGCCAGCAAGTCACGATCCTGCAGACAACAGGTATGCTAACAGGAGGGTGACTGCATATATATAAATGACATGTGTGTGCATTTGACATTGTGTGTGTGTATGTGTCACTGTCTGTATCTGCGTGTCAGTGTATGTGTCACTGTGTATCTGTGTGTAAGTGTCACTGAGTGTATCTGTGTCAGTGTGTATCTGAGTGCATGCGCCAGTGTGTGTATCTGACAGTGTGTTTCACTGTGTGTATCTTTCAGTGTGTGTGTGTGTATCTGTGTGTTAAGATTTGTGCCAGTGTATGTGCTTGTGTGTTAGTGTGTATGTGTCACTGTGTGTATCTGAGTGTGTGTATCTGTCTTTCAGTGCGAGGTTGTGTATCTGTGTGTATGTGCCAGTGTATCTATCTGTGGGTCGGTGTATTTCTGAGTATCAGTGTGTGTATCTTTCAGTGTATCTTTGTCGGTGTGCATGTATCTGCATGTATGTGTGTGTTAAGGTGTGTATGTATCTGAGTGTGTGTATTTGCCTTTGTGTGTGTAGGTGTCAGTGTGTGTCTGTGTGTATCTGAGTGTATCTGTGTGTCACTTTGTGTATCTGAGTGTGTGTATCCGAGTGTCAGTGTGAGTGTATCTGTGTGTTAAGGTGTGCGTGTGTCACTGTGTGTATCTGAGTGTGTGTATGCGCCAGTGAGTGTATATGTTTGTGTTTGTGTGTATGTGTATCTGCGCCAGTGTGTGTAACTGTGTGTCAAGATGTGTTCATGTGCCAGTGTGTATCTTTGTGTCTGTGTGTTTATGAATGTGTGTAAATGTGAAGTGCTTTTGTGTGTATCTCTGTGTTAATGTGTATGTATATCTATGTAAGTATATATGTGGCATACATCAAAGCAATCAAATGCCAACACAACATGCCAACACACCCCTGCAAACACAAACATTACATACAAAAACATCCCTGAATTCAAACCCCCAAATTATATACAAACACTAAAACACAGCCTTCACCCAAACACCAATACTACACACATGCATTTAAAAGCCAACACTACATCCAAACAAACCCCTAAACGCAAATGCAAACATTACATACAAAACACACCCCTGTATTAAAATGCTAAAACGATATACAAACACCAACTCTACACACAAAAGCACACATGCTCCTAAGTACTACAATCTTTTTACTATCTGCAGAAATTAGTGTGTGTATATAAGGAAAGTTAAGTGGGAACCCCTGCTCTAGATGATAAGGTTGTGACATAGACCTTTAAATATCTTATATGATAATTCATATCATTATTCGCATCTAATATCATTAGTATATGTATCCCAAGCTCTTATAAAGCAAGTGAAACTACACCACCACTTTTAAGGAATACTCTATGAGAAAAAAAACAAAATAATAATAATTTAGTAGATATATCAACAAAGAAACTATTCTTGGATTTTGTTTTTCATGTTGTCTTTGGAGGTATATGGAATATTGGCTTGCAATAGCTGCATATATAATCTGCTGCTACTGCAATCCCCCCCCCCCCTTCTTTTCCAACCAGGGCCATCTTTAATGTGGGGAAAACAGGACAGCTGCTCCGAGCCCAGTTACTCCTGGGGGGATCAAGGCAGCTGCCAAGTGGTCCCCGCTGCCCTCAACAATTTTGTTTCCATCCTCTAAGCAGTCCCACCGGGTGGCCCATGCACTTAGGGCCACCCAGTGGGTTTGTATTATCAGGGGCCCAGTCAGGCGCTGTGGCTCTAACAGCGCAAGCGGGCCCCTTGCTTTCCGGCAGCCAGCTGGGAGAAAGTGACAGCCGCAAGTCACTTCCTCCCATAAAGAGAGGAGCTGCGTGGGAGGGGGCAGGAGGAGTCGCACGGAAGAGAGGAGGCGGCGACAGCAGTGGCAGTGAGGATGGAGGCTCCTCACTCCCATCAGCCTGTGTGTGTTAGTGTGTCTGTATGTGTGTGTCTGTGTGTGTGTGTGTTAGTATGTGTGTCTGTGTTTGTGTGTGTGTTAGTATGTGTGTGTTAGTATGTCTGTGTGTGTGTCAGTATGTCTGCATGTATGTGTCAGTATCTCTGTGTGTGTGTCAGTATATCTGTGTGTCAGTATGGCTGTGTGTGTGTGTGTATGTGTCTGTCAGTATATCTCTGTGTGTGTGTGTGAGTGTGTGTATGTATGTGTGTGTGTGTTTGTTAGTATGTCTGCGTGTGTGTCAGTATGTCTGTGTGTGTGTTAGTATGTATGTGTGTGTGTGTCAGTATATGTGTGTGTGTGTGTCAGTATGCCTGTGTGTGTGTCAGTATGTGTGTGTGTCAGTATGTCTGTGTATGTGTCAGTATATCTGTGTGTGTGTGTGAGTATATCTGTGTGTGTGTGTCAGTATGCCTGTGTGTGTGTGTCAGTATGTCTGTGTATGTGTGTCTGTCAGTATGCCTGTGTGTATGTGTGTGTGTGTCAGTATGTCTGTCTGTGTGTGTGTGTGTGTCAGTATGTATGTGTATGTGCCTGTGTATGTGTGTCAGTTTGTCTGTCAGTGTATGTGCTTGTGTGTGTGTCAGTATGCCTGTCAGTGTGTGTCAGTATGTCTGTATATATGTGTGTGTGTGTCAGTATGTCTGTGTGTGTGTCAGTATGTCTGTGTATGTGTGTCTGTCAGTATGCCTGTGTGTGTGTGTGTGTGTCAGTATGTCTGTCTGTGTGTGTGTGTCAGTATGTATGTGTATGTGCCTGTGTATGTGTGTCAGTTTGTCTGTCAGTGTATGTGCTTGTGTGTGTGTCAGTATGTCTGTCAGTTTGTGTCAGTACGTCTACAAGTGTATGTGCCTGTGTGTGTCAGTATGTCTGTCAGTGTATGTGCCTGTGTATCTGTATGTGTATGTGTACCTGTATGTTGTCAGTGTGTGTATCTGTGTGTATATCTATATGTAGTCAGAGTGTATCTGTGTATCTGCATGCGTGTCCGTGTGTATAGCTGTGCGTCTGGGTACCAACATTAAATATGAATACACACCTGCATTGAAACGTCAACACTACATACAAACACACATATTTATATATAAACAAACCTCTACATTCAAAAATCAACACTAAACACAAATGCACACTTGCATTTAAACTTCAACACCAAATACAAACGCATTCACACAAACATACTCCATACAAACACATGCTTATATTCAAACACAGAAACACGGCTCAGTGCTAAATACAACCCTACAAACATGGGAAACTGGTAGAGCCCCAGCTGTCAAAGCATTGCTGGAGTTGCACGACAGATAGGGTTCTACCTTTTGTCCAACCTTGCAATTTGGGGGCCCAATAAAATTCTTCTGCTTACTTTAGTTCCGCCACTGCGTTGGGGTCCATGATTGCATGCCAGGGAATGGAGGGAGAGGCATGGTCCACGGGGCCCCAAAAAATGCTTGCCTGGAGTCCAATCATAATTAAAGATGGCCCTCCCAGCACAGATTTTCTGTGACTGTTCAATCACTGTTTTATAGCTCGTTGAGAAGTCTTTGCAAGGCAGGTGCTCAGGGCAATTGTCTGTCGCTTGAGCTTAACTAAACTACCAGGAACTGGCTATCTGATTGACAGCTGAGGAGGTTTAAGGATCATTTTAAAAAGTGTCCAATTAATCTTAGTTGCTTTATGTGTTTGAGTATTCTCTTAACTGCTGACGGCAATAGTATTTCATAAAAAATAATAATAATAAATGCAGTGTGTTGAATAAATAAGTATGATTTTGGGAATAACCATTTTACTGTATCTTACGGTTGTGCTTGGCCTAAAATATACAATCTCTACAATTCCCAGTTGATGCAGATTGGAAGAGAATGGTTCCCACACTAATACCTCAGTAACCCTGGATCTACCCTTGCTTGTCTGACTATTTTAAGTTTAACCTTACATTTATATGCAACTAGACATTTTATACCTGTACTTTATAAGGAGACATTATCTGCATTCAAGTCCCACATACTCAGTCTGTGCTATAGTTAATCGACAGTGTTGGTTTTATGTTTACCGGCTGATTAATTCTCAGAGAATGTTACATTTGCACACGGATTAATAGGCAGACTTTTTAATATTTATACACAGATTTACAAAACTATGGCAGAGCAGAAGTCTGGCAACATGCACAGGGCTCTCCACCTACCTGCCTAGGTCTAATCTATTTGCTTAAGGTAAGGGTTAATCCCAAAGTCCAAAACTCAGTATGACTAGTGCAGAAGGGTCTAGGAGGTGAGGACTGGTCCTTATCAGCCCTGTCAAAAGAGACCCTTTATTTCCAGGGTGACAGCATGCCAACATATCTGAAAAACAGCTGCCTGGCAGCACTGAAGTGGTGTCTGCTCTGCATGACTGCGTGGTTTACTCTGTCCCATGTGTGGCACATGCTTTTCTGAAAGAAAGCCGCAATTCCAAGTCTAGATTATGCTCAGTGTTCTAGAGAGTTAGCCTGTAAGTGGCATTGGGTGTGAATATAAAAACAACTACAGAGAGAGATAGATAAACAGCCATCTGTCCAGTTACAAAAGCAATAACACTCAAATAAACCTGAAGGCAGAACATTTATCACTATTATACGACCCAAAAAGAATATACAAAGTCATGAAGTGAATACAAATACAAAAAGGATAAGTCCTGAACAGTACACATCAGCCCCAATTTATAGTAAAAACCAAAAGGAAAAAAAAAAGTTACCTGCGCTCTCTTCTTAATCCCTATATATATTTAGACAAATGGAGGTCATTTAGTTACTCCAATGGCCATTAAAGGGAATGCCTGCCTGCCAACGTCAAGGCAGACCCCCCTAAGCGGGTCCTACACTGACCCTTCATCTTGCTTCCTTGAGTTTCTGGCAAAGATATCTCCAATGAGACAGAGAGGGGTATTTTTTATATACACCCCTATATACTTATTAACCCTTAATAGGGAACACATGGGATGGGCGGCAGCATTGTAACAAAGCTGTGTGATACAAAAAGTGAATACAAATACAAAAAGATAAGTCCTGCGCTCACTCCCATCACTCCTGGGCGGCAGCAACGACCACAGTACACATCAGCCCCAATATATAGTAAAAACCCCCCCAAACAATTTTTTTTACCTGCGCTCGCTCCTTAATCCCTATGTATATTTAGACAAATGGAGGTCATTTAGTTACTCTAATGGCCATTGGAGTAACTAACTGACCTCCATTTGTCTAAATATACATAGTGATTAAGGCCATTGGAGTAACTAACTGACCTCCATTTGTCTAAATATACATAGGGATTAAGGAGAGAGCAAACAATAAAACAAACAATAAAGAGACCGGAACCGGCAGCAGCCCATTGGGCTCATCACCGACAGGAGCGGGGGAGTTTCACGAGAGCACTATATATTTTATTCTCTTCTTCTGGGTCTTATAACACCAATTTGGACGCTGAACCTAAAACAGATATTCACCTATCAAACCTTACTCCGCATATCCTTGAGTGGGGATTGTTCCACTTTACGTGCGCAATATCAGAGCTGGATTTTAGCTCTGAAAAGTGTGAGTAAGACTAATTTTATTATTATATATTTTACTTACTTATATACTGTGCCATTGGAGTCCTGTTTTATTTTTTTTCTCTACATATGCTCTATCGAACTTCAAGCATATAATTGTGAAGACTTGATCCCATCAAACATCCTAAGAATTTCTTTTCTACATGTGGGACCTATCATTACGGAATGTGATAAGTTTTTTTGGACTATTGCCAATTACTTATTTTATCTTAATACTTTAATATTAAAATTTTTATTGTTACTATTATACTTTTATATATTTTAGGCGCACCCTTATTTTATTGTTTGTTTTGTATTCCTTGTTACCATTAGGGGATTATTGGGGACTCCCCTTTGAGGAGTGCAGCCTTTTTATGTATATCCTGTTGTGGCAATTTAGCGTTGATTTTCTTCTTTTGTTTTTTCCAGTATTAAGGAGAGAGCGCTGTGATCCTGGGCAGCACAGCGTGAGCACATGCTCAGGTAAACTGCAATAATTACCTGCTAGGGTTAACTCCTCCTCTAGTGGCTGTCTACCAAGTCAGCCACTAGAGGGACTTCTGGGTCTTTAGGTGACTTTTGGTTGCCTAAATGACACTGGACGTCCTCACGCTGTGCATGATGACTTCCAGCGTCACTGGAATCCCCATAGGAAAGCACTGATTAATGCTGTCCTAATGGAAAATCCTAATGCGAGCGCAGGCATTGCCAGGCATGCGCATTAGGTCTCCCTGCCGGCTGACGTCGGCGGAGGAGTGAAGGCGGAGTGAAGGTGCTGGACCCAGGTAAGTCACAGAAGGGGTTATTAACCCCTTCTGCACCACGGGGGGCCTTGAAGGAGGGGGAAGCTATAGTGCCAGGAAATTTTTTTGTTTTCATGGCACTATAGTTTCCCTTTAACAAGAGCTTTTCAACAGCTTTCAAACCAAAAAAAGTTTTAAATGAATACATATACTTACCTTTATTCCAGCTCACTCCGCCACACCAACATTGTGGTGTTTTGAATTCAGAGGACATTGTTTCTATCAAATGCTTCTCATTTATAAGCATTGTGAACATGCACAGTTCTTGCTATGTTCTTTCAATTAAAATAATCTCCTAGAGAATCATTGAATGCAATAATACCCTATGACAGGGATGGGCAATCAGCGGCCCTCCAGATGTTTTGGACTACATCTCCCATAATGCTCTTAGGGCCATGATGCTAGCAAAGCATCAAGGGAGATGTAGTCCAAAACATCTGGAGGGATGCAGATTGCCCACCCCTACCCTATGATAAACTTTGAACGCGGCACTGCGCATGCATGCAGTGTGGGATGATTGTCAGTTCAGCTCATTGCTCACCCGTTGACAGGAAAAAGCACCAAAGTGCCAACCAACATCAGCACTGGATGGTCCCGAATCTGTTTTTCCAAGCCTTCAAACACCTAAACTAGATCGAGTTGGAGGACTGGAGCAGAAGATATATACTTAGGAAATTATAACAAGTTTTTTTTTTATATATACAGTGCCTTGCAAAAGTATTCACCCCCCTTGGCATTTTTTGTGTTTTGTTGCCTCACAACCTGGAATCAACATGGATTGTTTGAGGATTTGCATCATTTAATTTACAGAACTTTATAGATGTTGTAACGGCACCCCCAGGCATAAAAGGGTTAACCTGCCGTTTAAAAGATCTTCCCCAATCAGTCTCTAACAGCATACAGTAAATCCCCCCAAAGACGAGACAGAGCTCTGTGTTGAGGGTCAAGCAGTGGTCTGGTTTAATGAGGGCTACCTGCCCAGTATTTATGCAGGTCTCCCACCTGGTGGACACTCCCCTAGGGGACCAAATGGGAGACTGTGACAAAGGACAGACATGAACCAGTGACAGACACACAGAGGTAAAACCTCCCCACAATGCATCCTAACTTCCCTCCTTCTGTCCTGGAGATAATTGGGAAGTAATCCAATTATCTCCCAGGACAGAGGCAAAACTCCATTAACCACATGGCAGTAAAAGACAGTAAAAACATAAAAATGTATAAAGTTACAACTGTTGCACAAAACATATACCTATCCCCAGATAGTTTAGATCTGAGCGCACAAAAGTACCGAATAGCACTCAGATCCTATGCACACAGTCCAATCGCCGTGGAGTTAAAGTGTTCACAAAGTCTGTTCTCCATACAAATAGACTCAACGGGATGGCTATCTGGGGTAATGCTGTTCATACGGTTTAAACTACCGAATGAACAGGCATCCGGTTAAATGACCAAATGCAGAAGCAAGAAGACTTTTAACATGGGGCCATAGTCCAAAGGGAACAGGCGAGCAACCAGACTTCTCCAATGCAATGTGGCGAGATTGGTCTCGTCACAGATGTTTTTTTTTTTTTATTGTGAAGCAAACAACAAATAGGACAAAATAACAGAAAAAGTCAATGTGCATAACTATTCACCCCCCTAAAGTCAATACTTTGTGGAGTCACATTTTGCAGCAATCACCGCTCCAAGTCACTTTGGATAAGTCTCTATGAGCTTGCCACATCTTACCACTGGGATTTTTGCCGATTCCTCCTTGCAAAATTGCTCCAGCTCCTTCAAGTTGGATGGTTTGCGCTTGTGAACAGCAATCTTTAAGTCTGACCACAGATTTTCTATTGGACTGAGGTCTGGGCTTTGACTAGGCCATTCCAACACATTTACAGGTTTCCCCTTAATCCACTCAAGTGTTGCTTTAGCAGTGTGTTTTGGGTCATTGTCCTGCTGGAAGGTGTACCTCCGTCCTAGCCTCAAATCACGCACAGAGTGGTACAGGTTTTGCTCAAGAATATCCCTGTATTTAACACCATTCATCTTTTCTTCAACTTTGACCAGTTTCCCAGTGCCGGCTGCTGAAAAACATCCCCACCGCATGATGCTGCTCCCTTACTTATTTGGAGAGTTCCTTGGTCTTCATGCCAGTGTTTGGTTAGTGGTGCCTCTTCCTTAGGTGTTGCAGGGTCTGGGGCCTTTCAAAAAAGGTGTGTACATGTAATGACAGATCATGTGACACTTAGATTGCACACAGGTGGACATTATTTTACTAATTATGTGACTTCTGAAGGTAATTGGTTGCACCAGAGTTTTTTATGGGCTTCATAACAAAGGGGGTGAATACATACGCACATGCCAATTTTCTGTTTTCTATTTCTAAAAAATAGTGTTATGTATATATTTTTCTCATTTCACTTCACTACTGTGTTCTGATCCATCACATAAAATTCAGAATAATAAATCATTGAACTAAGGCTGTAATGTAACAAAATAGGTAAAAAGTCAAGTGGGTGAATACTTTTGCAAGGCACTGTATTTAAATAATATATATATTTTTTAATATATATATATATATATATATATATTTAGTACTGCCAGAGGATAACGATTTTATAGGTCATAGTATTTAAACACTAAAAATGTTAGATGGAAGAGAAAATAAAATAGTCCTCATATTGAAGACTGAAAAGCCTATCATGACAGTCTGACGCAGAGCACCATTACCACTTGAAATATAGTAATTGTCTTATGACTTTACAGTTGGGACTTTTGTGATGTTGCAATAGACCATATATACTAATCAGTTAGGAAATGTAGAATTTTATACAACTATGATTTTATTATGTAGAGGTAACTCTTAAAGGACCACTATAGGCATCCAGACCACTTCAGCTCAATGAAGTGGTCTGGGTGCCAGGTCCATCTAGGGTTAACCCTGCTTGCTGTAAACATAGCAGTTTCAGAGACACTGCTATGTTTACCTATAGGTTAATCCAGCCTCTAGTGGCTGTCTCACAGTGAGAAGACGCCAGCGTTCATAGGAAAGCATTGAGAATGCTTTCCTATGGACTGACTGAATGCGCGCGCAGCTCTTGCCGCGCATGCGCATTCAGCCAATGACGTCCGAGGGAGCCCGGCACTGGAGAATGGTAAGTAACCCCTTCCTCTCCCTTCAGCCTGGCGCGAGGGGGGCCATGAGGGTGGGGGAAACCTATTAATACTATAGTGCTAGGAAAACGAGTTTGTTTTCCTGGCACTATAGTGGTCCTTTAATGAACAGAAGCTTTAGACTAAAATCTCTATATAATGGAACCAATTTCGTATCTTGTTGATGCTAAACTCTTCAAATTATCATAAAAAACAACGTCACAAATTGTTTGCACGGAGTAATAACCTCATTCTGTGTGTCGTATTTGGACAGTTTTTTGCTTGTTAATAATGGAAAATCTTTTGATCAGAGAGTCCCTAGTGATCTTAATCACGTGAAACAGTTGAGTTTTCCAAGATAATTACCAATGAGTCTGTGCTGTTTAAAAAACCTGTCCAGGATTGTTATTTCACTTCGAAATGCTTAGCACAAAAGGTTTTAAACTCTAGTCCCCAGGAACCAGGGCTGCTGTCGATTTTCATGCTATCTTCAGAGTGCAGGTGAATCAGTCTGTGGATTAAAAGCATTTTGATCAATTTAGCTGCAGGTCTCCCGTGCTGAAGCAGGGACCAAAACAATTTGAAGGTAAAAATTCTCTGCTGCAGGCCTTTCAGAGGCTACAATGAAATGTGGGTTAAAATTAAGGAAGTTGTATTTCCTAAGTTATACAGTAATTCGTATTTTGCAAAAATGTTAAGAGAAAACATGACTTGTAGTGACAACTGCATTAATAGTCTCTTGAATATGTAATAATTTATGCCAAGAAGGAAGACATAAACTAATTCGTGGAGCCTCTGCATAATTTGGCCATGTTGGTATGCATTTTGGCAATTATTTTTACCATTAGCTGTCCATGTGGGAGGAGATTTACAAAGTTGAGTAACATTCAGCCTAGGGGAGGCATAGGCAACCTTCGGCACTCCAGATGTTTTGGACTACACCTCCCATGATGCTTTGTCAGCATTATGGGTGTTAGAGCATTATGGGGGGGTGTAGTCCACTACATCTGGAGTGCCATAGGTTGCCAATCCCTGGCCTAGAGTATCCCAAGATATTTGGGCTCTTTTTGCACAAGCTCTTAATCAAAACAAACTAGATGTCATTATTAAAGGTTATATTCTCGTTATCTGGAGAACCATACTCTAAGCCAGGGATAGGCACTCCAGATGTTTTGGACTACATCTCACACAATGCTCTTACAACCATGATGCTGACAAAGCATCATGGGAAATGTAGTCCAAAACCTCTGGGGTGCTGAAGGTTGCCTACCCCTGCTGAGAGCACTATAGACACTTCTTTTAACCAAGGGAACACCCTGGAATTCTTCATCTAAGGCTTGCATTCTGAATAAAAGTGATGTTGAATAAAAATAAAAAATAATAATTCAGTCCAAACTTAGCACTGAAACTTCAAGTTAGATGAGCTGAAGTGTATTGCTTTCTTTATCGTGTTAAGGTTTAGAACTCAATTCTACCAGACACATAGTGGGGACCCTATAGACAAGCTCAGTAGCACAGCTGATTTTCCTGTTTTAGTGTCAAAATCCCAAACTATTGTATTGGCATCATTGGCTTTTGAGTGTTTTTAATGTATTGTCTTTACTGAAGATTATTTTTCATACATTGTTTTTAAAAAGGCGTAAAAGCACAGAGGTTACATTGTATTTAAACAGCATTTTAACACAAGAAAGCTAATTACGGTATTATTGTATGTAATATTTTTGAGGTTTTTTTTTAAAGGGACACTATAGTCACCAGAACAACTACAGCTTAATGTAGTTGTTCTAGTGAGTATAGTCAGTCCCTGCAGGGTTTTTAATGTAAACACTGTATTTTAAGAGAAAAAGCAGTGTTTACATTAGACCCTAGAGACACCTCTAGTGTCCACTACAGATGCTTCCTTGGGCAGTGCTGCACAGTGTGCAACTCTGACATTCATTCTCTCAATGCTCTGCTAAACGTTCCCCATAGAGATGCATTGATTCAATGCATCTTTATAAGGAGATGCTGATTGGCCATGGTGGAGTTTGGCTCTCCGCCCCACCTCATTGGCCGAGTTCAGCCAATCCAATGCTGTCCTATGGCAAAACATTGTGATTGGCTGAGAACATGAATTCTGATGTCAGCTAAAGAGGCGGTTCGGGGGCAGAGCCAGCTGGAAATAAGGTGAACTTTTACTATATAATTAAGGGGGGCAAAATAGTGTCTTTAACATACAGGGTCAGAAATACATGTTGGTGTTCCTGACCCTATAGTATTCCTTTAAGCGGGCATGGCGTTACCCAGGGTATTTAAATTAAGAGAATCTCCTGTTCCTTTGTCAGACTGGAAAACTATGACTTTAATTGAAGAACCCAGGGCCAAATTTAGAAGGAGGTGAGTAACTTTAATTTCGGAATTGGCCATTCTTGCCCCAGTCCTTTCCCATCTCCTTCCTGGAGATCACTATGTTCAGTCTAAGGGATGGGGCCATGCACAGATACTGTATTCAGTCTGGGGGCGGGGCCATGCACAGATACTGTATTCAGTCTGGGGGCGGGGCCATTCACAGATCACTGTATTCAGTCTGAGGGGGTGGGGCCATGCACAGATCACTGTATTCAGTCTGAGGGGGTGGGGCCATGCACAGATCACTGTATTCAGTCTGAGGGGGTGGGGCCATGCACAAATCACTGTATTCAGTTTGATGGGGCTGGGCCAGGGCTCGAGTCCTGCAGGAACGCATGGGAACGGCGTTCCTGCACTTTTTCCAAAGCAGGAACGCCGTTCCCGCTAGTGATCCTGCAGGACCGGCCCTGCTACCTGCACAGAGGGGCCAGCACACGCTGTGTTCCCTCTCCAGCTATAACTCTCGCGAGACCCGCGGCTGTTACCATGGCAACGCTCCGCACAGGCGAGTCTCGCGAGAGTTAGAGCTGGAGAGGGAACACAGCGTGTGATGGCTCCTCTGTGCAGCGGCTGGCTCCCTCCAGCATACCACCGGACCACCAGGCGATCTCCCCCCTCCCTGACAAGGTAAGAAGCAGGGAGGGGGGATAAATACAAATTATACATAAAGTAAAAAAATGCTACCCCCCCACACACACCCATCATCCAGCACTCACACACCCATCATCCAGCACACACACACACACATCATCCAGCACTCACACACACCCATCATCCAGCACACACACACATCCCATCATCCAGCACTCACACACCCATCATCCAGCACACACACACCCATCATCCAGCACTCACACACCCATCATCCAGCACACACACACCCATCATCCAGCACTCACACACCCATCATCCAGCACTCACACACCCATCATCCAGCACACACATCATTCAGCACTCACACACCCATCATCCAGTACTCACACACCCATCATCCAGTACTCACACACCCATCATGCACTCACACACCCATCATCCAGCACTCACACACCCATCATCTAGCACTCACTCAAACACACATCATCCAGCACTCACACACACATCATCCAGCACTCACTCACACACACATCATCCAGCACTCACACACACACACATCATCCAGCACTCACACACACACACATCATCCAGCACTCTCACAAACATCATCCAGCACTCACACACACATCATTCAGCACACACACACACACACACACACACATCATTCAGCACACACACACACATCATCCAGCACTCACACACACGTCATCCAGCACTCACACACACGTCATCCAGCGCGCACACACACATCATCCAGCGCGCACACACACGTCATCCAGCGCGCACACACACGTCATCCAGCGCGCACACACACATCATCCAGCACACGCTGCATTCATTATACACACTCTTCACTCACTACAAACACACTACATTCACTATACACCCTCTGCATTCACTATACACACTCTGCATTCATTATACACATTCTGCACTCACTACACACTACATTCACTAGACACACTCTGCATTCACTACAAACACACTACACACACTGCATTCATTGTACACACTCTGCACTCACTACAAACACACTAAATTCATTATACACAATTTGCACTTACTACAAACACACTACATTCATTATACACACTCTGCACTCACTACAAACACACTACATTCACTATACACACTCTGCATTCATTATACACACTCTGCACTCACTACAAAAACACTACATTCACTACAAACACACTACATTTATTATACACACTGCACTCACTACAAATACACTACATTTGTTATACACACTGCACTCACTACAAATACACTACATTCATTATACACACTCCGCACTCACTAAAAACACACTGCATTCATTATACACACTCTGCACTCACTAAAACACACTGCATTCATTATACACACTCTGCACTCACTACAAATACACTACAATTATTATTCACACTGCACTCACTGCAAACACACTACATTTATTATTCATACTCTGCATTCACTACAAACACACTACCTTCATTATACACACCCTGCACTGCACTATATGCATAGGAGTGTAATTTTTTTTTTAAATTTTTTTTTTTAAGGGGGTGGGGGGGAGGCGGGAATCTTGGGTGAGTTCCCACACCTTTTTCCCCAGGACTTGACCCCTGGGCTGGGCCATGCACAGATCACTGTGTTCAGTCTGAGGGGGCGGGGCCATGCACAGATCACTGTATTCAGTCTGAGGGGGCGGGGCCATGCACAGATCACTGTATTCAGTCTGAGGGGGTGGGGCCATGCACAGATCACTGTATTCAGTCTGAGTGGGCGGGGCCATGCACAGATCACTGTATTCAGTCTGAGGGGGTGGGGCCATGCACAGATCACTGTATTCAGTTTGATGGGGCTGGGCCATGCACAGATCACTGTATTCAGTTTGATGGGGCTGGGCCATGCACAGATCACTGTATTCAGTCTGAGTGGGCGGGGCCATGCAGAGATCACTGTATTCAGTCTGAGTGGGCGGGGCCATGCACAGATCACTGTATTCAGTCTGAGGGGGTGGGGCCATGCACAGATCACTGTATTCAGTCTGAGGAGCTGGGCCATGCACAGATCACTGTATTCAGTCTGAGGGGCTGGGGCCATGCACAGATCACTGTATTCAGTCTGAGTGGGTGGGGCCATGCACAGATCACTGTATTCAGTCTGAGGGGGCGGGGCCATGCACAGATCACTGTATTCAGTCTGAGTGGGCGGGGCCATGCACAGATCACTGTATTCAGTCTGAGGGGGCGGGGCCATGCACAGATCACTGTATTCAGTCTGAGGGGGTGGGGCCATGCACAGATCACTGTATTCAGTCTGAGGGGGCTGGGGCCATGCACAGATCACTGTATTCAGTCTGAGGGGGTGGGGCCATGCACAGATCACTGTATTCAGTCTGAGGGGGTGGGGCCATTCACAGATCTGGCTCTCTCAGACTGAATCGAGTGTTCCCAGCATCCAGCAGCCTCTTTTTTTAAACAGAAAACACTAGGCAGAAGGTAGAGAAGACTTTTAACAGGCAGAGTAGCCTCCCTCATAAGTCAGGCTGCTTTGCTTAATGGGAAATCCAGTCCTGCAAGCACCAAGTCTTAAGGATCTTATTAATGGAGCTGCCTGGGAAGACATAGGTGTAAACTAGTTCTTTGTGGTTATAGAAAAACAAACTTGTACAGTTCAGGGGCTCTGTACCAGTAGTTTTAGGCATATGCCTAACATCACATAATCAGCAATATGTTAGAAATCCAACAGAACTGTCCAGAACTCTAACTGAAGAAGACTCCTACAGTTAAACATCTCTGTATGCTATTTGTATCCAGCCGAGCAATTTTTTGAGAATTAAAAAAATATATCCTTTTTGTCAGCTGCAGCAGTTTTTAATTTATTTAACCCCTTCCCTGCTGCCTGATCACTGTACCATATAGTATTTTTACTGTACGGTACTGTATCAGTGATAAGTGTGATCAGAAGGCTCTCTGATCAAGGTCACATTTTTGTTTGTTATTGCTATAATAAATAAATACATAAATAAATATAACCCTTTCAGTGCTGGTCGCACCTGTTTGAACTGACGTTTAGGTTGTGTGTTGGGTCTTTTGTGGGTAGGATTGAGAATTGGGGTGGTGGGTATGTCAGTTTGTTTTAGGCAGGTAGGCACATTAATTACAGTAATCCCCCTAAGATGGCATGCTATTATACGGCGGAGGATGCAAACGCCACTCTGGCAGGCTCAGATAGTGGCACTTTCACAAATGGTGATACTATGTAGGCTCTGACATTGAGCCGCTAAGTAAGTCCACAATGTCACAGGAAAGCTGGGTACCCCCAAAATTTACTGCCCCAGATACACCCTCATTCATGGCTACACCTGGCCTCAGAATGGTAGATGCTTGTGAGCCAGAGAACTCTTTCAACTTATTTATGTCGGATGACATATTTAAGCTGATGGTTGAGCAAAATTTGTTTGCCCATCAGTACCTATCTGCGAATCCGGGGTCACATTACAGTAGGAAAAACATGTGGCAACCCTAGTAATAGATATTGTGAAAAATCTAAGCAATAGGTCCTACTGGCACAAGTACCTCATCCTGGCTACCCCTCTTTTCCAAGAGGTTAACAACAGGGATCGCTATGAGCAAATGCTTCAATTCCTCAATCTTAATGACAACGCACCTAGAAACGACTCATTGTTTGACCGGCTCGCCAAAATTTGTCCTCTTATCCAACTCCTGATAAATTTTGCAAAATTATGTCCCAGACCAAAACAATTGTATAATCCCTTATGAAATTTAAAGTTAGACTGCTTTTCAAACAATACATCCCATTAAAGCCTTCACATTATGGCATCAAATTCTACAAATTATATGAATCTACTGCTGACTATAAATCAGCATTTGGATTTATCAAGGGAAGAAAAGCCATCTTGATCCACCATGATACCCTGATTCTGTGGGCACAAATGTGTGGGATCTGGTCCTTGTCTTGATAAATAAGGGTTATAAGCTATGGGTTGATAATTATTATACCGGTATTTATTTATTTAAAAAAATGTATTTTGTTTTTTAAAACTCTATCATGGGGCACAGTGCATAAAACTTGCAGAGGTTTCCCCCAAACTCTGACAAGCGACAGAAGCAGTAGAGACTTGTGTTCAGCTCTATGCCAGGATAAGAAGCTGACGTAGTCTTGGTGCCTATAGTGTTCCTTTAATTATTTTCTTTCTGTTACAACCTTCCTCCTTACCATGCTATTTCCTCTAATTCTCTGCCTGTTGCAAATGTTAAAAAGATAACCAGTTTTTTTTAATAAAACTTGTTTTGTCAAGAAAACAGTACATAATACATTTCTTTTTGCATGGAAAAACAAAGCAATAAAGAATTTGATTACAAAACCAAGCAGCAGGGGTTCAAATACAAAGGAAAGGGAAAAAATAGATTTGTGGAGCAATCTTGTCCAGTGTTATTATAGCAGGGATCCAATGAAAAGACTGGTGTTTATGGCCAGATTTCCCATTACTTAGAGTAGGCACCTGCCTATACAAATATCTGTCCACTAGGGTACGCCTGTTTTGCGCACTGATAATGCAAGTTTTTAAGTTTCAAGAAGCTGGTGGGGAGAGAAGTACCAGGCGCCTTGGCCAGTATCCTCTGCAGTCCAATCAGCCTCCAATGCATGATAGCAGAGTTACAGGAACAGTTATAGAGTGTGTAAAACTCAGTGCTGTCCCAGCTCCTCCAGTGTCTGAGTGTGAGGCTGGACAGGAAAAGGAAGGGATTGCTTCCCATCTGCTCACTGACAGCCTCTCACACAGGAAATGCATTGCAGGAAGAGCAGGGTCAGCACTGAGTGATACACACTGTGTAACCACTCCTGCAACTATATCATCAGTCATAGGAGACTGACTGGACTACAAAAAAAAACTTATTGGGTGAGTACTTTGTAAATTACTCTTCAAATTCCTGCATTCAAAGCCTAAACCTGAAATGAACCCTTTACCATCATACTATATTTTACTCCTCTTAGAATTTAAAGACTTTGTGTATCCTAATACTACATTTACCCAAACTCTAGTCCTAAACCCACATGGTTATTCACTTAAGTAAGAATGCAAAGTGGAATTTAATATTTAAAGCCAAAATAGCTAAATTGGAAACATTTAGTCAGTAATGCTTCAATTTCAGCTACTTTGGCCTGAAATTTTAAATTCACTTGGAATTCTCATTTTAGTGAATAACCCTGTCAATAATCCTAAACAGCCCCCTCACTACAACTTTAACCACACCCACGCTTTTAATCTTCACTAAACACTAATCACCCTATGTAATCTTAGCCCTTCCCAGACCTGAAACATCCCCGCTACTATAACCACTTCTAACATTATCTTAAACCCAGCACTAGTCGCACTTTGCTATTTCCAAATATTAAAAGACCTTATTTGGAGGGTGCGCATTCCAGTTTTCCAAACAGGAATTTTCTCAGCTGGTCATCATGCACCCATGTCCTATTTGGAAGCCGGCCAATGTAATTTACCCCCATTAACCCCTTAAGACCGGAGGGCGTACAATTACACCCTATTTTAGGCGGCTCTAAACGCCGCCTGGCGTAATTGTACGCCCTCCGGTCTTTTCTTACTTACCCGGTCCCAGGGAGCCCCCCCGCGGTAGATCCTCCTCCTCCGGTGCCCCCCGGCCATGTGAGAGTGAGTTCCTTGCGAGGACCCCACAATCACATGGCGGGGATAGCTGGCTTCTGTATTGCCAGCAGGGGGGCTGCCTGTAATGACAGGTGGTCCCCCTGCTGGCTGGAAATAAAATTAAAATAAATTAAAAAGTGTAAAAAAAAAATATATATATACTTAGATTATATATATATATATACACACGCACATACACTGTCTAGGTGTATTTTACTATTAATATATATATATATATATATAGCAGTCCAGACTCTGGCACTCAACCCCAAAGAACAAAAATAGTAATGTTACCAGGGTGCCTCCAGGCCAGTAAATATGAAGGTAAAAACAGGAGCACTCACTTGGATTTTTCAAACGTGTATTGACAATCTTAACACAAATCTACATCAACGTTTCGACCCTTCATGGTCTTTATCAAGATAGTGATAGTGCACATGAAATACAAATATATACACCATATTAATTAATGAACTTACCCCACCTGTGTGAAATGATTCCCCGTCATTGGTAAGTGAAAAAAACGGACGGGATGCATGCATAGAGACCTGAACGCGTACATAGTGACGTTCAAACGTGCGTGTGTAGTGACGTGCATGCGTAATAGCGTGCCCCCTTGCGTAGTGACGTTATTGCGAGTGGTATAGATCGTAACCATAGTAACCCCACCGTGTCCCAGTGCAGCATACCTTTCAAGGAGGAACAACATGTACTAAAAACATTTAGAGAAATTAATAAACAAAGAAGACAAAAATCAAATAGGAAAAGGTCATATCTGAACTGGGATCAGTTCTAATACATCCAAAGCATGTATAAGAAAATCAGTATGGGTATAAATTGTGTGCAACTGAATAATGTAATATGTGTAAAAAATGAATAGGTAAAGAAGAGTGTAAATAAGAAAAAAATGAAAAAAATACATGAAAATGTATGTGTGTAGACATGAGTGTATGAAAATACATGTGAAAAAGTGTGAAATATATGTAAAAGAAAATATGAAAAATAAACATAAAAAAAGATAAATAAAAATAATGAATATAAGTAAAAATAAATATAAAATAAATAAAATAAAAGTAAAAATAAATATAAAAATAAAAATAATAATAAATATAGATATAAAAATAAATATAAATATAAAAATGAGTGTAAAGATAAAAATAATAAATGTGCAAATGAAAATAAAAAATAAGTGCACACGTGTAACCGTGTAAAAACTCATAAAACGTGACAGTGAAAAAATGTAAATGTATGTACCCCCTGATTAACATACATGAGTAAAGTCCCGAATAAACAAAAAACTAACAATCATATGAGAAATATCCAGATAATAAACTAATTAATATTTACCCATCTCACATGGATATAAAGGTAAAACCATGATAATGGTAATATAAATGATAGACTCTCTCACATGGATATGAAAATAAAACCATAATAATGGTAATATATATGATAGACCCTCTCCAATAGATAGATGTCTATACCACAACAAAAATGTATCTTAAAAAAGACCAAGACTGAAAAGAAAAAACAAACAAAGAAACCACCAGGGTCTGGTCGATGAAGATATATATATATCTCCATCAATAAATCTGTAGATATGTCTATATTCAAATATTAGGATTAGAAATTAGCCCTACTGGCTATAACAAATAATGTGAATAAAAATAAAAAGGTCTGGATCCGATCAGGTTTCAAACAAATAGACATAATCAAAATGATAAACTACCGAGTTTCCAAAAATGAAGAGAATGAAATATATTCGTTAAGATCCTTAGGTTGTAGGGTGTCCAATTGTTTAATCCAGTGTATGTATATATATATATATATGATCTAAGTGTGTGTGTGTATATGTATGTGTATGTATATATATATATATATATATATGTAGTAAATGGTGTCATACACTAGACCCCACAGGGTTAGGCGGTTTACCTTATTATTTTTTGTTTGCCCTTGAAAAAGGCGGTTAGACCGCCGAAACGTGCGTTGGGCTGTCCATGTTTTAATTACATTGATTACAGGGTGTTACACCAATGTTCGAGCTATTTTGTTGCTCTGGACACTTGTCCTAAGGTGATGGGGCTTAGTGAGTTATTTGTGGCTAGATATAACCTTCAAATACTGCTGTATTATCTTTGATAGGTTATTCTTACTTTATTTTTCATTCTCACTTTATTACCTCCTCTATCCTTTCGATTTCTATACTAGAGTGTTAACCCTGTGGGGTCTAGTGTATGACACCATTTACTACATATTGCTACATGTATCTTAACTACTACTCTGTTATGAGTGACTTTGCCACACTGTGTAGAGATTGATACATGTGAGCGTAGTTATATTTCTGTAGATACCAGGCCCTCTGTATCCATTTATTTTTAGAACTTTGTTCTCTAGTTTTCTAATTAAAGTTGTTTATTATTTTTTTGAGACGTCCATTTGGGGTCGCCTGAAGGTGACCAGCCCGTTTTCTTTACGAGGTGATCATATCCTTCACTTTTTTTTGTATTTTACTATCTATATATATATATATATATATATATATATATATATAATCAAATTACACGTAGACTGATACTGATTAAATATATATATAATTATTGTTATATATATTTATATATAATATAAAAAAATTAAATATGTAAATATGTTAAAAAATAAAATTAAAAAAATAATTTTAAAAAATTATTAAATATATAGATGTGTTATTTCGTTGTAACTGTATTGTGATATTAATATATATATATATATATCTACATAAATATATACGTATATATCACTATATATATATATATATATACCCATATATAAATAAAAATATTTTAAAAAAATGATATAGATATATATACATATATAGATTCACATACGTGTGTGTATGTATATATATATATATATATATATATATATATATATATATATATATATATATATATATATATATATTTTCACATATATTAATTCTACATATATATTTATGTAATATTTTTACATAATTGGGTATCTTAATTAATTAATTACAATTAGCGGGACCTGCCTGACAACCCATGCCGAAAGTAAAGGGAATTTAATTTGCTAGCATTATATTTAACCCTATAACTTTCCAAGACACCATAAAACCTGTACATGGGGGGTACTGTTCTACTCAGGAGACTTCGCTAAACACAAATATTAGTGTTTCAAAACAGTAAAATGTATTACAACGATGATATCGCCAGTAAAAGTGACTTTTTTTCATTTTTTATGCACAAACAGCACTTACATGGATGTGTGTTCAGCGAAGTCTCCCGAGTACAACAGTACCCCTCATGTACAGGTTTTATGGTGTTTTCAAAAGTTACAGCGTCAAATATAAGGCTTGCGTTTCATTTTTTTCACATTAAAATGCGCCAGATTGGTTACGGTGCCTTTGAGACCCTATGGTAGCCCAAGAATGAAAATTACCCCTATGATGGCATACCATTTGCAATAGTAGACAACCCAAGGTATTGCAAACGGGGTACGTCCAGTCTTTTTTAGTAGCCACTTAGTCACAAACACTGGCCAAAATTGGCGTTTTTTGCATTTTTCACACAAACAAATACTAACGCTAACTTTGGCCAGTGTTTGTGACCAAATGGCTACTAAAAAAGAATGGGCATACCCCATTTGCAATACCTTGGGTTGTCTACTATTGCAAATGGTATGCCATTATGGGTGTAAATTTAATTCCTGGGCTAATATAAAGTCCCAAAGGCAACGTAACCAATCTGGCGAATTTCAATTTCAAATGTAACGTGCTATATTTGACCCTGTAACTTCCCAAAACGCCATAAAACCTGTACATAGGGGGTACTGTTTTACACGTGAGACTTTGCTGAATACAAATATGTGTATTTTATTGCAGTAAAAGCAAACAGTATTAAGACATTGACAGTTAAAATGTCATGTAGAACTAAAACAATCTAAAAAAAAATCTTATTTTCTCATATTTTTCATATTAAATTATGTTTCATAGCTAAATATTTGATATTAAATGAAAGCCCTGTTTCCCCTGAATAAAATGATATATAATAAGGGTGGGTGCATTTAATATGAAAGAGGTGAATTACAGTTGGACAGACATGTAGCGCAAATGCCAGGTTTTGTTTACATTTTGTTTCGTTCACAACGTGTACATTTGGCTCAGTCCTTAAGGGGTTAAACATATATTTTTAAAAAGTAGATGCCCTAAGGCAACCTACGGCACGTGTGCCATGCACGGCACTGTAGGTGCTTTTAAACGACACTCAAGGCTGCGAAAGCTAAACCGGCTCTGGCCCATCAAGAGTCCTTAGTACAAACTGAGTGGTTAGGGGCAATCCTCAATCTACGCATTTCAGCACTTATAGGAAGTAACCCCAGATCACTTTATCCCAGTACTTTTGAATGGAAATCTGCACTGGATTAGAGCAGCCCACAGAAACTACTGCAGCTCCTGCCCTTGACCTGTACCTAGTCAGCCTGGCCCCCACTGGCCCGCAGGGAAACCACCCACACTGCTAGATATACACTGAGCTTCAGAATGTCTCCCCCTCATGCAAATAATACAAAAAGCCCCCACACTCAAACACATCCCCACAACATCACTGACAATCCACATACGTGCACACAGCCCCACAAGCAGCCTGTCACATACAGTACCCTAAGCAGCCCCACACATACACACATTGTGACATATTACACAAGCAACCCCCATACACAGCCCACTTTTAAAGGGATCATATACAATACTACAAACTACTCATGAACGAATACTTTACAATATAACTGCTCACACCCATGGATAATACAAGGAAAATATGGCAACATATTACACACGTCAATTTTAAAAGAGAGGATCGGCACGCCGAGAGACTTCAAAATCTTATTTTGGCACAGTACTACTGAAAGGTTGCCTATCCCTGCCCTAAGGTATTTCAAAGGGTGGTATTTTAACACTTTCCATGCACTAATTCTACCACCAGTCTTTTTCAAACTTTTGGGTAGTCATTTCTTTGTGTTATTTTTCTCTCACATTGTACTTTAGGCATGGATTCTCAGTCCTGTTATGTGTTACTGACAAGGAACAGCCCCAATATCTGTTCAGCAACATCTCCCGAGAACAACAGTGCCCCCAATGTACAGGTTTTATGGGTTTTTGCAAATGTAGGGCTTTTCCATGTTTGCCCATTGAAATTTGCCAGATTGGTTTCCTGGGCCTATGTTGCCTTTGAGACCATATAGCAGCCCAGGAATGAAAATTAACCCCATCATGGCATATCATTTGCAAAAGTAGACAACCCACAGTATTCAAAATGGGGTATGTCCAGTCTTGCCAAAATTAGCGTTCTTTGCATTTTTTTTTTTTTTTTACACAAAAACTGCACCCTTAGGTGATTTCAACGTCGTGATAAGTTTTACTGTTTTAAACACTCATATTTGTGTTCAGCGAAGTCTCCCGAATATAACAATACCCCCTATGTACAGGTTTTATGGTGTTTTGAAAAGGTACAGGGTCAGTATAGGGCTTGCCCAATTCAGTTTGCCAGATTGGTTTGCTTGGTCTGTGTTGCCTTTTGAGACCACGTGGTAGCCCAGGAATGTGAAATAACCCCATCATGGCATACCATTTTCAAACGTAGACAACCCAGGGTATTCCAAATGGGGTATTTCCAGTCTTTTGTAGTGGCCACTTAGTCACAAACGCTGGCCAAAGTTAACGTTTTTATTTATTATAAATGTTATTTTTATTTTCAATTTATATTCTTAGTCCCCCCTAAGAAGAAGACCGATCGGTAAGTACATGGGGAGGGAGGGCTATGGGTTAAAAAAATGTATTATTCCTTAATTATTGCAATACCTTCCAGCTTTCTAATTCGCAGCGGACGTATCTGGTACGTCCACGGTCCTTAAGGGACTTTTTTTTTGTCTGACGTACCTGATACGTCCATGGTCACTAAGGGGTTAAGTCAGCTGCGCTTCCCGTTCAGCTCCTCTGGCCTTATATTTAATTCCCTTTGGATTCTCACTTTAGTAAATAACCCTCATAGGGTTTTTAGCCTTTCAGTAATTCTGGTATCTCAGACAGCTAAGGACATAAAACGTGAGAAATCTGTGATTCATTTGTCACTTTACACTTTGAATTATGGTATTTAATGCACAGTATGATGTCACATTATACAATAGGGTCTTGAAACCTGATTTTCTAATTAAAATAACTGGTAGATCATATAATATCATATATATATAATCTGTGCATATATGCCTTTGTGTGTCTGTATATATTTTGGCATAAACATTAGCAAATCAGTTTTCATTTTACTGCAGTGGGGTTTATTCACTAAACACTGAATTATATTGAATTGAAAACTATACTGCGAAATTTAAGCTAAAATAGCGAAGATACTTCGCTTTACTAGCTAAAGTTCCCCTTCTCATCTATAGACAGCTTGGCTTGCAAACCAGTTTTGAAATCATTATGATTGGTTTGTGGATAATCCCCTCAGATGTATTTCATTTTCCATTTTATATACTGATATATTTGGGAATATAGTGCCATTGAGAATTTCTGGAGACAGAAGGTTGCGTGGTTTATAAATGTCTGCGGAACCCATAGATGGAATTACTTACCTCCAATACATACTTCATCATTAAGTATTGTTTAGATTACACGATATGTTTAGGTTACGCTTAGTTTTAATGTGAATGTTAAGAAGTGTAGAGATTAATGCTTAGTGTTGTATAGCGTGGCTTAAAGGGATCCTATAGTGCCAGGAAAACAAATCAATTTTCCTGGCACTACAGGCTCTTTGAGTGCCCCACTCCCTCTGCACTGAAGGGGTTAAAACCCCTTCAGTCACTTACCTTAATCCTGCACAGGGCTCCCTCGGTGCTAGTGACCTCTCCACCCCCGCCGGCGCTAGCTCCCAAGTGGAGCCGAATGCACATGCGCGGCCAGAGGCGCGAGCACATTCAAACCTGCCCATAGGAAAGCATTACTCAATGCTTTCCTATGGGGATCTTATTTGACACTGGACTTCGTGAAGAAGTCCAGCGTCAAATAAGTGCGATAAGTACGGTCCGGGAGACAGCCACTAGAGGCTGGATTAACCCTGCAGTGTAAACCTATGTTTTCAGCTGCAGGGTTAAAATTAGGGGAACCTGGCACCCAGATTACTTCAGTGCTATTGGGGTGTTTTTAAAAAGTATGTTTTTTCTGTACTTGGAGATAATTGGATTAGAATTAGTACAGTTACTGATCCAATTATCTCCCAAGCAGAGGGGAGGGATTGTGTGCTATGTGTGGGAGTGCCTTACATTGTAAATGTGTTATTATTGGTTTGTAAGTTTGTGTCCCTGTCCCCAACAAGGTCCATGTGGGTGTACCCCTTGCAGGGGGATTGTCATAAAAGGCCAGTGTGGCTCCCATTAAAGAGAAATTTGTTTAGCCCTTCATGAAGTCTTGGCTCATGTTTGGGGGATTGGAGAACTACATTCACTTTGGCGATTGCTATATCACAATTCTCCCCTGAGTATAAGAGCTGTTACTGCTACGCTCTCTGTACTAGGAGAGGTGTACCCACTGGAAGCTGGATCCTGGTCTTGGGTCCAGGGTGGGTGAAGGACAGCGAGAACCAAGCTGTGGCGGTTCATGGGGTTTACGGTGGTTATGGTGTTCCAGTACAGTGCTTATGGTGCTCGCAAGTACTAGGAAGCAGCGATTGACGGAGGTACCCGGTCAGAGTGCCAGGCAGTCCGTCACAGTGGACATTTCCTATATTGTGTAGTTAGAATTAAGTTAAATGTATTATTAAATGCTCAATTGAATGTGCCTTTTCCCCCTCCCCCTTCCCTGTCTTCTTTTTCCAGCAGGGCATTGTCCTATTGTTCCAGGGACACTTCCAAACTAGTTCAAACAGCATGCCATGCCACTCCCTTAAGACTCCCACGAGGTCTATAGTACTTGCTATTGTCTGTCCCCACCCTTCCTTGTAAGCACACAGTGATCTATTTACACTGGTTGTACTGTAATTAAGCTTTGTAGTGTGATTGGTTGCCATCACAAATTCATACTGCTCTTGGTTGACTTGTATTCAGTGTACAGACAAAGAAATTGATAAAAACCTCTGTGTGAGTTAAAATAAAGTGTACATTACTGTTCCCCACTTTATCAAGTTTCTGGCTGATAATTGTGGTGGAACATCTGCAGGAGTACCCCCTCTCTGAAAGATCCTTGGGACTACTACTTGGGTGGTGCTGGATGAAATTGGAAAGGCTGTCTCTGTGCTCCAAAGCCTGTAACCAGATCTACTGTATTTGTTAAAGTGGCACTCTTGCAATTACTTGCCTAAGGAATACTGTTCCAAGGTCCAACATGAGATATCCAAACAGACAACAGTATTTAAAAAAAAAAATGTGTGTGTGTGTGTGTATGTGTGTGTGTGTGTGTGTGTGTGTGTGTATATATATGTTTGTGTATGTATATATATATATATATATATATATATATATATATACATATACACACACACACTTTCTTTTTAAATACTGTTGTCTGTTTTGATATCTCTGACGTTCGATTTGATACCTGCCTGTGCTCATTTGCATGCCATATGCTAAACAGCATTTTTATATATATAAAATATATGTAACGGATCACCTGGCACCCCGACTGGGTACCTCCGTTGAAGGATGCTCCTAGCGCTTCCTGAGGACTCCAAGCACTGCAGCAGACACCACAACCACCGTAGACCCCACGAACCGCTGCAGCTTGGTTGGGGTCTTGCCGTCTCCTTCCCACCCTGGACCTACGACAAGGCTCCAGGTTCCAGTGGGTGAACCTCTCCTCCAAGAGAGTGAAGCAGGAACAAGCTCTTACAAGAGCTCCGTGATTATAGCAAGGGAATATGCAGAGCATATCAATCCCTTGTAGCAGATTCCCCCAATAAGAGACAGGACTCAGATTGAGGGTGAAGTAGAACTGACTGTACTGGCATGTACAGCCTATTTTATTCACAATCCACAAACATAGTACTGCCCACGGGGTTTTGAAATACAACCAATCAATCCGTACAATACACACAGACACTCCCACACAAAATCCTCCCCTCTGCCTGTGATATGATTACTGAACACAATGGTTAATATAATTATCACAGACAGAGAAATATAGTATTATAAAACACATCACAGGGACCCCAAAACATGCAATAACCCCTCGAACCGGGGGATCTGGGTGAACCACATATCCAAAATTCACCCAGATCCGTTCAGTAGTTTGGAAGATACAGTTTAATGCAGATTCCACAGAACATATACAGGCTATATGAAAAACAATTACTGTATAATGTGTCCCCTGTTCTATAGTCCAAAACCACTGCACAATGTCTCTGTGCACCAAATACCGGCGAGATGGCACCGTGTAGAAAAGTCCACACAGTGTCTGTGAGTTAAAATGGCCGCCATCCATTGTTCTCACCATGTGCTTCATCCATTGTTCTCACTATGTGCCTCTGATACATGAAATGGTGGCCACCCAGTAACTCCACGGTATGTCCCCAGATGGTTCTTAAAGGGCCAGCAGCAGCACAACACAAATCCATTATGCCAAAATCATGTCTTTAAAGGGCAATACATCCCAGGGCCATAGTCACATGGCAGGAGGCGGGCAATCAGTCTTCTCCAATGCCCAGTGGCGAGGTCGGTTTCGCCACAATATATATTTAACTTTGTGTCCAGGAACCAAGGACTGAAAGAAGAGCTATAAAGGATGTGGAAAGTGAGGGTAGTAACAGTCCCAGTTCTGATATGAGCACTTGGGGCTGTGGCTTCAACAGATTCTAGGTGGGGCACTTGAGATCATACTGCACAGAACCCTTAGACTCTTAGGCCTTTAGTAGAATGGTAGAAGATCCAAGAACGAGGAACATATAAACCACCCAGGCGGGGTGAGGGAAAATAATAATAATAATAATAATAATATATATATATATATATATATATATATGCTGTTTAGCATATGGCATGCAAATGAGCACAGGCAGGTATGATGCCAATGTCAGCCTACATTCTGGAGGCACCCTCCGCAATGGACCACTGTGTTAAACATAGATTTGTAAATTTGTTTGATCCAAAAGTACCAAGGACCAAAACCAACCATCCACGGACTCTGTTTTGCCACACCTTAAAATCTAACAAGGTTATTCACTAAAGTGAGAATTGCTGTGAATTCAAAGTGAATTTAAAATTCAAGGCCAAAATAGCCAAACTAAAAACAAAATTTGCTTAGATCATTTTTATATTTAGCTGATTTTGGCCTAAATTGTGAAATTCACATTGAATTCCCAGCAATTCTCACTTTAGTGAATAGCCATGTAAGTTTTCTGTGAGACATGCTTTTAAATAAATAAATAGTTCCATGAAAGGGAAGCAGTAATTAATGGGTTGAAGTGCCAAATCCAGCATTGCCTCTAATGTGATAATCCCAGCACCCTATTAGTTAAAAACGGCTTATTATAAAATAATATGCACGGTATACGGTTGGCTTTCTGAAATTACTATTTATATGTAAATTGCATGTTATTTTAAGTCTTTATACCTCCTATAGTATTGTGCGTGCCACCTCTGAAGGGACAGGAGACAGGCAACATCCCTCCATTTTAAAGTGGGCAAGCAAAATATATTTCTGCAGGTATAACAATTAAGATTGCACTGGGTCTATATATATATAAAGGGCGCCTTTGAATTCCGAGCTTTATCTGGAGGAGACAGACCCCCTAGGCTAAGATAAGGACAGTTCTAATCATATAAAGATCTTGCTTCTCTTAAAGGTTCCCAGGTCTTGAAGGATGTCAGCTGCGATAATCAGTACAATGCCTGGAGATGGCTGGAAGTAACTGGGGACTAATAATTGATTTATAAGCTATATTACACTTGGCGCCACATGGATGCTATTGTTCATGTAGGACCAAAAAACTATATATAGGAGATGGATAACCTTGGTACCTCTGGCGTTTCTGAGCTAGGTGTCCAATGAAGCTCAGCCAGCCTTAACGTATTCCTATATAAAAAGAATAAAAAAGAGGATGTTTAATGTTTCAACTGGGTATAATAATTATCAAAATTACACCAGTCATTATGGAAGCTCTAGGGTAAAGGACCCCAAAAAGGCAATTTTAGAACTAGATCTGTTCTCTTTATTCCAGGAATATCACGGTTTATAAATAAGGCGTATACACTTCTGATGTTCAGTGCATTCGGCTGTCAGTCAATTGTGAACTTTAATTATAATCAGATATAACAGCAGTATTTGCTGTAGAAACAGATTATATAATCATTTCTCGCTGGTATTATACAACAGATATACACTGAAAAAGGCATGTGTGTAGGTAGACATTTATAAGGCTATGGTTGAGATTAGACATGGGTCCATAAAATATTTGTATTAGGAGATGAGCAAAATGTATTCCATTGTCTGTTCATTAGGAGGTGATTAGCAAGCATGTCTGTGTATTAATAAGAAAAGGGTATACATCCCTGCGCATTACTAGGAAGAGGTATGTGTCCTGATGTCTGTGTATTAGGGAACTTGCCTATAGCGAATGCAGGCAGTGTGAATAAAGGATAATAAAAAGGCTTTGCAGAGAGGTGGAATTTGAAGGGTTACTGCCAGTTGCACTTGTGCATGAAATTACTTCTACAAAGAAATTTCCAGCAAAGAGAGCAGAACATGTAACAGCTTCACAAAGACAAGAGTCATAATTTGGTAGGCACAGGACAGCTTGCCATGATATATTTAGAAACTGGAGCTCGGCTGACTCTCGCCTCTCCTCACCAGAGACCCTTAGAGTGGGCAGAATGTTCACAAATATCTTCCATCATGATGTAAGCAGTTTCTAGGAGCCCCAAATGACGTGTATACGTGTATAACGGGGCTTCTCAGGAAGAAAGGTAATAATAATATACCAATCACATAAATGGTTATCAGGCAGCCTGCTCACACTTGCAGTCACCTCTCCTATTATAAAGGTGCTCCCCCTTTGAAATGCTGGACATATGTTGTAAACAAACTGACACATATACGTATAGGACTATTTGTCACTTGTCCTAGTTATAGATAAATAACTTTTCTACCATTAGCCCCATATACAGTATGTACCGCTACACCGTACATTTGTAGTTTACCGGAAGTCAATGTAGTGTGCTCAGTTGGAGTGCAATCGTGAAGTTTGATCAGCAAAGGTTTCTGTACAGTTTTTAAGGAATGGACAAGCATGATCTTTGATCCTTCTGTAGAGATGAGCAGTCAGAGAATGGAGCCTTGGCAAATAGATGTATTTTAGGGCAAACATAAGTAAGTGGACTTCATGGATTAAAAGTAATTTTATATTGTTTTCCTAACTAAACAAACATTAGTAGGTGTATGCACATTGTTGGGAGGGAAAATGTTAATGCGTATGTGGCATTATCTATATATTTAGTTATGGTGCAGTCACAGTGGACATCAGTGGAATGTTCCAGATCATTACTCTACTTCTAGCACATTGTTCCAGAATGAATTCCTCTTCAGTCTTTTTGAAGTTAGTATTGAATTTGAATCTTTGCCAAATTTCAAAGAGAATTAGCTGCAAACTTTGCCATTTAGCAAAATACATATATTTTTTTCCATTTCCTGAGACTGACAGGATTTACAATAAATATATACTTTATATTTTAACGAGGCACAATGATGGATAGAACATCCAAGAATTGCCCCTCCCAATGCAGGGTGACACAATCAAAATAAGACAGGTATTCGGTGTTCGTAAACCACCTGGAGAATCGCACTGTCTCATTCTGTATGGAAACAGGACTCCTGTCTCTCTGTCTAACGAACAGCCCTTGAGCTGCAAAAGAACGTGCCCAGATGCTGATCATTCACAAAGGGTCTCAATGTCAAGGGGAAGATTTGAATCTCAGCCTCAAATATTTACCTCCCATACTATAGTGATCAGTCAGAGCAGCTGCATTCAGGTTGTCCGATAATGTCATCTTTAGAAGCCCGCCATGAATATATGTCCTCAATTAAGTGTCCTTCATGGATTGCTACTCCTGAAGGTATTGATCAAATGGTAAATAACAGGCTAAAGACAGTGATCCCTTACATGAATGAACAGTAACAAGAATGTGAACTGCTTTCTTTTTGTATTCAACTTGCAGTGTGTGTAGGTCCTATTTGACCTTGGTATTGGACTGAATAAGAATATAATGTTAACATTATCCTGGCATCGAAGCTAAAATCACTAATTATATATAAATTACTTTATATCATGTAAAGGCAAAGCTAATGGAGGGATAACCTTTAATAATATGAACCAGCATACTAAAAAGTTTGCCTAGCCCAGAAGAAAGTACAGTTAGAAGCCAAAAATTCCAGAAAAACATTGTAACCACAGGTATCACTCACTTGGGGTGATTCATTATACTCATATTCAAAGGGAATTTCCAAATAGCAGGTTTATTCACAAAATTGTGAATTGTCAGAAATTCAAATTGGATTTAAAAATCTAGGCAAAAATATCCGATTCAGCAAAATTCTCAAAGTTAATTCTGTGTTCAGTTCGACTATTTTGCCCTTACCATTGAAATTCACTTTGAATTCCCATCATTCCTCATTAAATAGGGTTATTCAATCAAGTAAGAATTGCCATGAATTCAAAGTAAAGGCAACAGTAGTTTAACTAAAAACAGAACTGAATTGGAGAGTTTTCTAATTTGGCTACTTTGGTGTAACTTTTGGTATTCACTTTGCTGGCAATATCCACTTTAATGAATAATCTTTTTAATTTAAGACTCAAAATGACAATTATAGGTTATTATCCCTTTCCTTCTAAGACAAAGAGAAATGGTTGCAAAACAGGGAGTGGTGAGTACCAGAAGTGACCTGATATGTTTAGACACATTGGCACTGACCATCAGCCACACTGGCCATGCCTACTCTAGGCAATCGATGCACATAGTTCTGCTTTAGCGCTCTTGAATAGTTTGAACGTCCTAAATGCGGAGCACACTCATTTTCTTGCTTTCTCAAGGGATACTGGGCACCTGAGAACAATCCCAGGTCAGTGAGATAAGTGTCCCACATTGGCACTGTCACACTAAATCCTGTCCTGTTGGGAGGTATGTATTCTGATCAGAACCATTCCATATCTAGCTTTAAAAAAAAAAAAAAAGGTACATATTTCCTACTAAGTAGTCAGCCATTTCTGAAATAATCTATTGCCCAATTTGCTTATACATAAGTACAAATTGTGGATTTACAAAGCCCTATTTTGTTGTGTTTTTACCCAGGAAGAATGATAGAAAAATGCAAAATATGGACACAACTTCTGTAACTTGGGAGAGATAATTAAAATAAATCTACAAATAAACTGAGTGGATTTCCCAGGGAAACCAAACTAATTTAGAGGCGGATCACCAGCCCCTATTATTCAAGTAAAAGCAGTTGATGATATAATGAATGTGTCACAAGAACACAATAAGTACTCTTGATAGATATCAAACTACCGCCCAAGGCAATGACAAACAGGGTTATCCATCCTGCAATGAGAGTTGTCGGGAATTTAAAATGTAAAGAGTACTCTAATCCTTTTTATGTAAAAGTGATTTAAAATATACAAAGTCCTGTTTGGGCATTACTAGCTAGATCCCCCCATTTAACACTTACAAAGAACTAAAACTTACTTGAAATCTAGCATCGGGTGACGTTTCCAGGGCTGCTTTCCATCCAACATCACCAGGGGCATTAAGAGGTTCAATCAAATGTTTTTGATAGAGAAGCATCTGATTGGACCATTTCACAAGCTCAGTGCGCACTCTGAGCCGCCTTGGGGATCGAGAGTTAATAAAGACAATACAACGGTAATAGAGGGAGGCAGGTGGGAGTACACAAAGGAAGAGAGTGAGGGGAGAGCGTAGCTTCCCCTTACCTGGCGCTGTATGTCATTTTTGCACAGAATTGACAATTGGCTGAGCAGAGTTCCAAGTTATGTGTGCAATGAGTGTAACTAGCCCCAGCAACAAACGTTCAAATATCTCTTTATATACAACATTTTAAGCAGAAATGCTGCAAAATAGACTCATGCCACCATGACCACTTCAAAGGGCACTATAGTTTGCCTTTAACTACTACTAGTTCATAGGAGCAATCAAAAATATTCTTTGCTTTTTCTATAGACTGATGTAAAATTTTTCAAGCTTATATGTGCTTTTAAAAAAAATGCAAAATATTAACTAACCGTGCTGTATGCTCAGAGTTAGTGTTTGCAGCCCCGTTACATTATTACAGTTTTGTTTGCTAGCTCTATGCACTTGGCAGCAACATCAGACTAAGCAACATTTTTCAGGTATATCCTGCTCTGAACATCTAACTTGACTGCTGAAGTTACATTATAGCTATGCCAAGTTTTATAAACTGCTTTGTAACAGACTCTACATTACAGCACGTTCACCCAATGCACACTACAGACATACTGACAAGACAAGACGAATGCTGACATGGATGGATAGATAAGGCCAATAATGAATAACTTTGTTTCTTTCCAATGCCTCTCTGATGGCTAATATGGATAATGAATTTAAATGGAAATTTAATAGATACATGATAATTAATAAATTTGAAGTAAATAACAGTTAATTATGTCTGGCCAGCCCAGGACCTTGCAGAGAGAGATTTGGAAGTGCTCTATGCTAGGTCCAAGTGCACATGCACAGTGTAAACAGATCTAAAGATGCACTTGTGCTGCGCAAAGACAGTTCTGTGGTGTCCTGGGTGTGGGACACCAGGGAACTAAATCGGGATGGTTGGACAGTACCTCAAAATCAGGACTGTTGGGGGAATGTGACTAGAGGAGTATCAGCTATATCAAACTAACAAGGCCCAATAAAGGCTGAAACAATTGTCTTGGGTTGCTGGACTGCCACTGTTGATGGGATCAGCCTGCTATGCGAAATGGCATAGGTTCCCTCTGCAATGGCACAAGTGAGCCGAAATGTGCCTGAAGCTTGAGTTAGAACCATAAGGCAAGCTATTTAAAGGTGGCTATTCTCATTGTTCTCATAAACTCTTGTATTTTGCTCCCCCAAAATACTGCCTAGAAATGTCAATATCCCCTCAAACACTCACCGTGATTATCAATAATTGGCCACTACACATATAGTCTAAGTTTTTACCATTTGGTTGAACTGAAATTGCTGGAAGACAGTTGCTAATTTTAATTGAAACAGTCATTCATACCATCTTCATGATGTTAAACAAGAAAGTGTTAACTAATGAAAGAGTTCAGTACATCCGCATAATAAAACCAGTCATTTAGGTTTTAAAGGTATACTATATTATTAATGTAAAATAATAATTACCGGTGTGTATATATATATATTTTTCTATTTACTATCTGGTTGCTTGTGATGCAAGTGAGAAAATATTTAAGAATTCTGTAGAGTTTATTGCAAAAATACAGTGTATTTATTTTGCATATTTGCCTCCTACTAGGGCCATTAGGTAGAGTAAGCACATGTCCTGTAGGGGCGCAAACACTGCCTGTTAAAATCCTCATTCCCACCTCCTGTGTAGTGTATGCTGGCTCCAGCACTCTGAGATCACTGTATCCAGCTCAGATACCTACACTGTACACACACACACACACACACTCTTCTACTACACATGCTGTTACCCACACGTACTACTAACTACACTGTACATGCTGCCTCCCATACTGTTACAAACACACACTACTACATTTGCCCACACTGCTAGTGATGTGCACGCACACCTATACAAACACACTTAGTCTATTTATGTGTATATGCTACAATCCTATTTAAATTGGTATTTAATTTAACAGGTTTGTTGGGGGTGCTTGAGAATTCTGTACCTAAAGGTGCTTATGAAGACACCAGAGGGTACCAGGCAAAATGTGCTCATTATTTTAAATTACTTTATTTGCCTTTAGTAAATTTGGTTATTTTAACTGAAGCACTATACTATCTTAACAATGTTGTGGGTGTGGGGGCATGTATTTATCTATTGAAAAGGTATTTGATTCTACATGATTTAACAGAAGGCAATGGCATGGTTTAATAGAAAAGTCCAAAGAACATCTATTCTACCATTTTCTATCAGAAAACTAATTAATTGGCTCAAATTGCACATCAGTTGCATTACTCCAAAGAAAATGTAATCTTTTGAAGGATAATTTCTCCCATGGAAACAAACGAAGGCAAATTAAAATGACCCTAAAGAGGAAAGGGATGTATAATGACATTTTTCAGCTAATTCAAAAGTGTAGATGACATTAATAAACACACACACAAAAAAAAAACCTCCAGAGCTATGTTCAACCTGGTTAAGAAGTCTATAGCCAATAATTTAGTGGTCTGACTTTTTAATGACCGGATAGCCCCCCCAGTGAATCATGTTATATTCTGTTCATTAGGGTGAGCACCGGTATCGGTGGCTCTGGTGGGCTCTTGTTACAGATTTTATTTTTTTTCATTCTTTATTTTTTTCATGCAGAGATATGTCACACAGTATTGACTAACCTGTCCTTCCTTGCACCACACTTTGGGTAGGTACTAACCTCTGCAAACCAGGAACAACCCACAGACTTGCCATTTTGGTGATGCTCTGAAACAGTTGTCTAATTGACAACAGTTGCCTAATTTTTTCTGCTTCCAATGCATGAAATTCAAGAGGTGATTGTTCACTTACTGCCTTCTATATCCCACCCCTTGGCAGGTGCCATTGTAGCGATATAATCACTGTCAGTCAATTCACTGGTCAATGTTTTAATGTCATGGCTGATCAATGTATCATTTAATATCATTAAATTTCTTCACAAATTGCCAACATTTTCCATTGTACAATGGGTACATTCACAAAAAAATATAGTGTAGAGACAATGCAATATATAATTAACCTGGAACCAAAGGAAAGGTGTACCTAAACTTTTTACAAAACATACAGAGTGTGATGGCCCATACGCTAATGGTCTAAAGCAAACAAGAGTAGCAGGAATTTCCTTACCCAGGGTTATCCACTAAAGTATAAATTCACAGTGAATTACAAATGTAAAGACAAAATAACTGAATTTGAATAATTTTCTAAGTCACCTATGGTTTCAGTTCAGCTACTCTGGCTTTAAATTTGAAATTTACTAAGTCTGCTTGATGTTGAAGGGGCACTGTTACCTCTCTGACATGTATACCATTGAATAAAACATAAAAAAATGTACCTATTAAAGGGTCACTGAAGGCACCAGAACCACTAGAGTGGCCTTTCCCTGTAGGCTCAGTAGGTAGACACTGCCTTTTATGAGTGAAGATGAAAACATTAAGTTGCAGAATCAAGTGCACATTTCTAAAGTTAATTATATTTTTCACATCTTTTGTAAATATAGGGATAAGTAAACAAAATATAAAAATTTCTGGGAAATAAAAATTCCCTTTAAAGGAAGGACAAGGCTACAAACTGAGACCCCATGAAGGGATAATGCAGCAAGATATTAAAGGCAGGAACTGACGAGAAAAACTGATAGATCCCCATGGTGGGCGGTGTGTGGTAGGATGCTAAATCGCCTAACAATGCTTCTCAATCGTCTAAAAGTCTGCTTCGGTTCACACTAGTCAATCTAATCTAGCAAAAACCAATGCAGTAAGGGTAGCAAAAAAGGACTTCGCTTGAACCCCATCTGCTCTACATAATGAAGTTATATAAGGCCTTAAGTAAAAGGTATAATTTACTCCAAATATGGCCAAACTTTAGCAATAAAGCCATAAATGAACAAATATTCCCATGATCCTTCAAAAGCACACTAGTTGTCAGAGGATTACTGGAAATGTAATTTATTAATAGCTGGACAGCCAGTGTTTATCCATTTTTTTGTTTGAATTTTGAGCTTCAGAATAGGGTAATTTAGAGCAGCATTCCAATGGGCCTCTTCTCAGTCCAAAAACTAGTTAATACATTTTCAGTTGTTATGTGCATGTCCAGCAATACAAAATGTACAAAACAAAGGTTTAAAACTGTACAAATTTCAGTGAATCCATGATTACTGTGTTCTACCAATCAGATACAGCTTGGAAGGGTAGCCATTTAAATATGCCACTAAACTATTTTAATTAGAATCTGCTGACTGATTGCACAATATGGTGGTTTGACCGAAATGAAAGGAAAAGAGCCAATCTATTAAGAAACTATTATTTTTGGAAGACGTGCATGAGGCCAGTACGTAGGGAGGAGGAAAAACTCATAGGGCTCAATGTGTTTGACCCCTGCAATTATCAGGCAAACGTGATCTAGAAGAAATACTTGCATATATTTGTGAAACAAACACTTCAGTTATCCAAATGGTGAACTATACAATTTTTAACACTTCTTTCCAAATCTCCATATGCAGAACTACAGCATGGATGGTCATGTTCAGCAAACCCAGATGTTTCTTAATCATTAAGCATTATAGAAAAGATAGTTTCAGAAACACGTGGAGTGTCTTTTCCGTTAGTCTCATCAAAAAAGCTGTCTAAGCTTCATTATGGGAAATGCATTTATTTGTATAGGATACAGTTGTGGCAAAATCTGCCTTCAAGCAGCTAGAACTGAAATCTAAAGCACTTCAGTAGATCAAGGTGAATTCATAAAAGTTGGAGACGTGACAAAGAGATTATATATTTTAGGTCAAAACCGCACACGAAAAAACAATTCTCCAACATAGGTTCATCTGTTTTGGAAAAAGGTTAGCAATTCACTCACCAGTTCTTCACAATTGCAGGTTTAGTGAAACATTTCTATAGGGGTTTACTCGCTAAGCACCAAATTATGCAAACCAAATTACATTTAGGCAATAATAGGGGATCTGGAAAATCTTGATCTGGAAAAAATAATCAATGCTCACCTATAGTGAAAACATTCAATTTTCTAGCCCAGATTCTCTTACTCCGTTCATTACTATACAGTACTTAGTGAATAACTTCCATAGTGTTATGTAGTTAATTCCACATTCTGGAGAGCCAGTGTGTGATGTTACAAGATTACGTTTTGTTTCACAACACAATGGGCTTTTCCTTATGGGCTCATTAAACACAGGAAAACGGAGGGCGCTGTTTAAAATCCATCAAACATTTATATTTAGGAGACTTAAATAAAGCCCTGCTACAAAAACTCACACAATGTTATGTGTACCACCCAAGTAGTGCCTTAAAAAAATTGGTTAGAATGATGTCTATCAATTGTACACGCTATCGGGTAGTACGTTTCTCTCCAGTAGTTTGTGTATTTTGTATGCTCCCAAGAGGAAATCTGTTAAGCACACACACACAGAGATATTCATTGAAATTTCTGGAATTCACAGTTTAGTGAATACATCTAGCAATATTGTCACCTGCATGAATTAATTCTTGCTTTTCAAGAAGACAGGATATGAACGCTACATAGCGCCAGACACCACTATCCAAAGTAAAGGCCTTCCAAATGTCCCTGTTTAGGCAGGACATCCTGGAATTTGGGTTCTGATTTTGTTAATTGATGTCCTGCATCTTGGGGCACCAGGCAGTTAACCCCAGCCAGATGCACTGGCACTGTGATAAGGGGCCTAGGACCATGCAGAGATTGCTTCAGCAGCACTTTGTAGGTAAACTGAACTAAGTGGGTCTGGATGGGAGGTAAACAGTCAGTCACACCAGGTTGGAAAGGCCCTTCTGTGGGTGAAATTGCATCGCTAAATAAAAAATGAGCTGAAGGGGGTATAGTTTTTGCCCCCTTTCCAGGCTGGTCACGCCATTTTAGGATGCACTAGTTGTCACGAACACACCCTACTTTAAGAGTGTGCGTGATGTAGTTGTGGTGGCAAAATGGTTAACTATTTGTCTGCACCAGACCGGAAATAATGACAAAATCACCCTTTACACACACTTAAACATAATATTATAACTGTTACTATTTTAATGCTGCCACCACCAAGACAATTTATAAATGGGGTGCTTTGGTCCACCAGGTAAATCAATAATAAAAACACACCAAATATTACATGGCACAATCTCTATGTAAAAATACTAATGGGTCTCTTCAGGTTACGTGATTCTTAACCAGACAAAGGCAGAATTTAATAAATGAATGTTTATTATGAGCAAAAAATTGTCACAGTGCATACAAAAATAAATGATAAGCAAATTATTTACACCAACAGCAGATAAAAACAAAAAGGATAAAATAACAGGAGTCCTAATTACTCACTTAGGTTTTCAAAGTAAAACTTCTGCCCAGGGGGTCTCTGGCAAGGAAGGATGATGGTGACTCACTTGGAATCTTGGCCCCAAGCAAGTACACCCACAAACCTCCATATCATTGGATATATATACCCTGTGGATTATCAAGTCTTGCCCAGGGGTGGAGTAAAGGCATACCTATAGAAATAATAAGTGACCTTTGTTCCAGACCAACGTCAATCCAAATGGAAACATTTGGCTCCATCTTCTCTTATTTACCTGCCACAGAAATAATAATTGCATCTATGAATTTGTTATTATTTTCCCATCCCATAGACACGTTGCATGCCCCACCTGCAATCCAATAGGATGGACATCACAATTCCTGCCATACGGTTTAAGTTGTGCAACTCATGTTTAGGCTTAATTAAAAGACTGGGCTTGTCCCATTCCAAATATAATAAAAATAAGGGCTTAATTATTAAGCTGTGGGTAAGTATTAATGTTTCTCTTGGATATGATACTGGAACACAAGGGTCTTCATGAAACTAATACCATTACCATATCAAAGGATTGAACTATCAGTTTACATTGAAACTAGACATACAGGCAGCTCAAGTGTAAAATGTCTCACCTTGCAGGGCCTTTGATAGATCAAAAGGGGAATCCTTTTCACACCTTGTAGAAGCCCCTTTTGATCAAAAGAGCAATTTCTCTCTGCGATTTGTCCTCTACCCAGGGGTCAAATTATTGCTGCACTACAGAAGTTATATTAAATAGCAATACTCCATAGTGTAATAATAAATTATGCACCCTTGCAGTGACAGTAGTGACACAAGTTGCATCACTAAATAAATAATGAGCTGAAGTAGTTATGACTGGGCAACAGCTGAGACCCTATTCTGTTAGAGGAGGCTAATAATGATTGCCCGTTGCTCTGTTCATTAGCCCTGACACTGTCTCGACCGCAAAAAACTTACAGTAATGTGCAATATGTATCAGACTTCCACAGTGATAAAACCCACATGGTGTAATCCACTAATGTCAACATGCCCTGAGTTGATATTATGAATAATAAACCTCGACTATCTTAGGTTCCAAAATCCAATAACTGAACACTTGAAATGCAGAACGGAATGATGGAAATTCAGTACTTTCTAATTTGAAGGTGGTTAGTTGTGAATTCCAACTAGTAAAAGCTGTAATTAATAATAATGAGAGCTAAAAGTTCGCTCCCATCCTCTTCATTATTAAAGTAACCCTATAAGCAATACAGGAGGTTACTGGTGCCCAGTGGACCTCAGGTTAGTTGTCAAACCATTAGCAAACTATGTAAACTATGTACTGGGGCGTCCTATCTATGTACTGGGGCTTCCTAGTTAGTACGGGATTTGGAAGACCCCTGTTTGTTGCATTTGTTTCATTTAATACTGTTTTAACTAGTGCAGATTGCTGGTTTGCCTGCAAATGCAGGTGGGCTTATTTTGTGAATTTTCCTCGTACAGGAAACCAGGGTTTTGATACATATGCAAATCCTTTACGTTGTGTAGATTTCACTTGGTGGTAAACTGTATTTCAACTAGAATTGAAAAAATATGTAAACTGTAAATACATTTAAATACAGTTTGTTTGTTTCTCACAGAACTTTTTTAGGTCTTTATTTAGACATCAGTGAATAAATCCCAAAGTCTGTTGCACCATATATGAGTATTACCAGACTACACAGAAATAAAATGTGTAATAATATGTTAAAAATACATTAAACCTGTCTATAAATGAATGATTCTTATTAAATAGACACTATAGAACCTGTCTCTATTACCCTTTGTCCTGCAATGTAAACATGTTTACATTGCAGTGCTAAGACTGCCTCCAGTGGCTGTCCATACGAGACCTGCTAGAGGCGCTTCTCGGATCTTACCAGACTTTAGGATGCTTAACTGACGCTGGACGTATGAGGACATCCAGTGTGAGTTAAATCCCCATAGGAAAGCATTGACTGCATGCTGTCCTAGGGAGAGGGCCTAATGCGAGCTCCACGCATGCGCATTATGCCTCCCCTGTTGGATGACATTGGAGGTGGCGGAGCACCAACCCAGCGCAGAGGGACATCGATGCTGGAATCGGGTGAGTCAACAAAATGGTTTTTAAACCTTTCTGAGCTGGGGGTGGAGGCTGCGAGGGAGAGGGAAAGCAGAAGTGTGAGGAATACAGCTTTGTGTTCCTAAAACTATAGTATCCCTTTAATAGTTAAGTTACAAAAAATAGCTATCACTAGGTCAAAAATACATCTAAACATTCCCAGAACTGCCTGATTATCAAACATCGGTACCAGATCCGCCCCCCTTAAAAAAAAAAAAAAGTGTCAAGATATATGAGTATGTGTACTGCTTTTTATGTAAAATATTAACCCTGTAAGCAAAGGTAGAACATAATACTGCTCTAGAACGTGTGCTCCTCCTCCCAGGGGGCTTATTGAGTAAAATCCGTGGCAAAATAATGTGCGGTTGTCCTGCTTGTAATAATGAAAATGTGCTGGTCCAACACCTCATTAAGTGGCAGAACAGCTGTGTGCTAATTACTATTAACTTTCTCCCACTAGCCTCTTGTTAAGTGGTGTTCCAATCAAAATCAAATGCACAAAACAAGTCAGTTTTCCTGCCTAATCACAGGTAACTCAATTAATGGCTCTCATCATGACAAGCCAGTCAGACCCAAATTAAGTCCTTTCTGAAAACACCTTTAATGTTTTAGGCGTTAATTACTTGTTTAACATAATTTATTTCACTTTTTAATCGTTTGATTCAAGGTTACCTACAGTCCTGAAAATAACAATAATTTTTTCAAGACTATTGTTTCCCTTCTGTTAAATAAAGATTATTTTATTTATATCTGCACCAGGACTACTCCAATGCATGCCACTTTAGTGCATACCCCTGATAGAACCAGTCAGTGAAACAAGGGAATTCTGGAAATATCATCAAAAATGTTCAAGAACTGCTGAACGCTGTTGGAGAAAGTTTCACTCTGCACCTGAGCTCCTACACTCTGGCTCTTTCCTCTGCAAGTAAATTTCTTCAAGACCCTCCTGCGAACCCAAACGACTATTTCAGACTTTTAATACTCTCCTTCGCCTTGTTGCTCCCCCTCCTCCTTCCACCCTGTCCGCCTCAAACTTTGCAACTCACTTCACTAGGAAGATTTCTACAATCAGGTAAGATATCTCTAACCTCTCTCCCTCCCCTTCCAATACATCTTCCAATACATCACCAAACCCCTCTGCTGTTCTATGCTCATTCGCACCTACTACAACGGAAGAAGTTTCTCCTCCTGCCCCACCAACTGTTCCCTCAATCCTATTCCCTAATGTTTCACTTTCCTCTTCCTCTCACTAAAATTTTCAATCTCTCCCTTTCCTCTGGCACATTTCCCTCACCCTTCAAGCATGCAACCATAACACGGATTCTGAAAAAGCCCATCCTTGACCCCAACTCCCCATCCAACTACCGCCCTACCATTTGCCTCCAAGATCCTTGAGAGAGTTGTGTATACCAGATTGACAGGCTTCCTCGAATCCTACTCTCTGCTTGACCCGCTTCAGTCTGGATTCTGCGCTCGTCACTCTGTTGAAACAGCTGCGACCAAAGTATCCAATTATTTAATCGCTGCTAAATCTCGCAGCCATTACTCTATCCTAATTCTCCTTGATCTTTCTGCTGCCTTTGACACTGTTGATCAACAGCTTCTTCTCATTTTCCGTAACCTCGGTCTATGGGATACTGCGCTCTCCTGGTGCTCCTCCTATCTCTTCCGATGCTTTTTCAGTGTTTCTTTTTCTTCCCAACCCCTCTCTGTTGGTGTTCCCTGAGGTTCTGTCCTTGGTCCCCTACTGTTTTCTATATATACTGCCTGCCTTGGTAAACTCATCAGCTCCTTTGGCTTCCATTTTCATTTATATGCAGATGATACACATTTACCTGTCCCCTCCTGATCTCTCTCCGCCCGTCTTGACCCGTGTCTCTGACTGCCTCTCCGTGATTTCCAACTGGATGGCTGCTCACTTCCTTAAACTCAACCTGTCCAAAACAGAACTTCTGGTCTTTCCTCCCTCAAGTGTTGCTACTCCCGTGTCTGTCTCCCTCCAAGTCAACGGCATCACCATCACGTCTACCTCGCAGGCCTGTTGCCTAGGTGTTCTCTTTGACTCCGACCTCTCCTTCACCCCTCATGTCCAGTCGATCACCAAATCTTGCTGCTTCCATCTCAAAAACTTAGCTCGCTTCCGCCCTACCGAAGACCTATGCCTATCCTCTGTCCATACTCCCACGTCTAATGCTCGCCTTCAAGCCTTCTCCAGTGCTGCAACCTTTTCTGTGGAACTCCCTTCCCTTCTCCGTTAGACTTTCACCAGTCTCCATTCCTTCAAAAAAAAATTGAAAACACACTTCTTCAGGATAGCATATCATCTAAACTGTTAGCGGGGTTTCATCCCCCCTTTCCCCCCCATGACTCATTTCCTGCAACTGTCAAAAGTAACCTACTAAGTTCTCAGTGATTACTTTTATAGCAACCTATTTCATTACCCCTACTTCTCAGTGATTACTTTTCTAGCAACCCATTTCATTACCCCTACCCATTTCATTACCCCTTTGTGTCACTATACCCCACTCCATCTAGCATGTAAGCTCATTGAGCAGGGCCCTCAACCCCTCTGTTCTTGTGCGTCCATTTGTCTGGTTACAAATACGTGTCTGTTAGTCCACCCATTGTACAGCACTACAGAAATTGCTGGCGCTATATAGATAATAAAATAATCAGAATTTTAAAAAACACCCGATGTCTAAGGAAACGGTTAACAACTAAATATACAGGCCCTGAAAATATTTATGAAAATATGTTTGCATAAACATTCTAGAAATTGTTTGTTCTTCTACTTTTTCCCGCTAGTAAAAAAAAAAAAAAGTGTGTATTTTGTGGTTAGCAACTTCAGTTGTGAAATAATAGGAATTTAAAGCAAATTTCAAATTAAAGGTCATAAGAATCAATCTGGAAAAAATTTAATTCAGCTGTTGAAGGCTGGAATGTGAAATTCACATTGAATTCCCAACAATTCACAGTTTAATGAATACTTAACTGCAACATATATAAAAAAAAAAGTGAGATATTTAGGGAATGCACATTCGTGTCTGTAATCATCCCTTATGACAAACACACAAGCTGTGTATACATAACGTGCACCGTATGTGTGCTGTCACGTACTGTTTCCCTATGTGCAACCACATGATTGCTCCGTTACGCTGGGAGCCCTAGAAATAATTCTAGCTCTATGTCTAACAAGACTCGTTCAAGCCAAACAAATCAATCAAAGACGTTGTTTTATAAATCTACTTATTTTTTACTAAAAAAAGTTATGTTTTTATTTGCTTTTGTATCACACAGCGATGTTACTGTCCTCCACCCCACATGTGTTCTCTATTAAGTGTTAATAAGTGTGTAAGGGTCTAGAAAAATACCCTTTTCTGACTCAGAGATTTTGCCTTTTTGCTGAAAGCAAAGTGAATTGTTAATGTAGAACTCACCTGAAAGGCCATCGGGAAAGCACTGGATTGGCTGAAGGAGGCGGGATGGGGACCAAATGCTGGCTTGGCCAATCAGCACCTCCTCTAAGAGATGCATTGAATCAATGCATCTATGTGTTAAAAGGTCAGTGTCTCCATGCAGAGCGCTGCACAGCACCTCCAGTGGCCACTGGAGGTATCGCTACGGGGCAATTTGAGATTCCTCTGCTCGAGGAAAGCTATCAATAATTCATTGAAGACTCCCATGTGAACTTCTTTAATTAGTTGATACAACATATATTGTAGAAATCAGAGATCACCTTCTCTGTCATTTCAAAGAATAACTGAAATCTATGTGATTTTACCTACAGCTTATAACTGTTGCTTAAGTAAATGCTTTTGTATTTGCGGGCACCTGGAGGAGAGGAGGGTGAACTGGAGTCAGGGTACTCTATTTAAGAGTCAAACCATGTGAAAATAATTTAACACTTGAAGGTAAAAGGGTGCTTTGGTGTCCTGAGTGTTACTTTATATTTACTGAGTTTCCTGTGTCATATTAATTCTATATACTACCAGGCAGCACTTTTAATTTGATTTACAGTATGAAGAACTATGATTTTCCCTGGTGTATCTGGCTATGTTGGACACATGTCAGAGAACAATCTGCTCTTATGTGGTTTTGCTTGTTACACAATTCAGACTACACACACCTATGAACAATTTATTGGCACTTTGATAAACTTAAAGGGACACTATAGTCACCAGAACAACTACAGTTTATTGAATTTGTTCTGGTGAGTAGAATCATTACCTGCAGGCTTTTTGCTGTAAACACTGTCTTTTCAGAGAAAATGCAGTGTTTACATTACAGCCTAGTGATAACGTCACTGGCCACTCCTCAGATGGCTGTTCGATATCCTTCCTGGGTCATGGCTGCCTAAAATGCATCCAAACATTCAGTATCTCCTCCCTTTGAATTTCCTCATAGAAATGAATTGATTCAATTAATCTCTATGAGGAGATGCTGATTGGCCAGGGCTGTGTTTGAATCATGCTGGCTCTGCCCCTGATCTGCCTCCTTGTCAGTCTCAGACAATCCTATGGGGAAATACAAAAAGCAATGTGTGTGCACAAACCACAGTGCAATAAGTGCTCAATAGATAAATAGCAGAAAAAAACCTCACTGAACCAGGTAGGATTTTCCCCAAAGACTTTCTCTTGTCTTCAATAGAATATATGTAGCAAAAAAGGGGATGATCTGCTAAATGAATAACAAGAACAATGCATAGCGCATAACTGTATGTATGAATAAACCAAATGTATAAATGACCACAAGTGGCCACTCACACTTTCGTTGAAATAAGAATGCCTTGAGAATAAATTTCTTTTTTCAGCATAAATGCTTTTCCAGGAAAAGTTCTTCCACCACTTTTAAACTCTCATGGAACAATTAAAAGGTGTGTGCTCAAAAAGAAAAAAAATATAGAACTGTAGTACACATTTAAAAATGTAGAAAGAATAATTTAATCACTTACAACAAAATATAAAACAATGGATGTATTCTCACTGTCCCCACCAGGGGTCCTATGCGTTTCGTCCGTATGTAGGACTTCCTCAGGGACTTCAGTGACCAGAAATGACAGCATACAAATGAACAATATAAAAAACCCTTCCCTCCTCCACCCTTTATACCCCTCCCAATGTCCACAAAACTCTTCATTTGATCCAGGTGTTTTCAGTCCGGCGGCCGGTTTCTATGACGTCATCCTATGCGCCTGTCCATCTCACATGCATTCCACCATGCGTTCCACCGCCGAAACCCGGAAGTACTCCAAATCTTCAATTCACAAGTCACACATCTTTTTTTTCTTTTTCAAAGTCCCTTTCAAAAGGCACAAATTCAGTGTATATGGACCGGAGGCAGAAAAAAGAGAGTGGGGGAAGGTTACACACTTCAAATGGCACTACAGAATTCTAGTTACATAAGATTTACTCGTAATACACCAAACTCAATCCTAATGAAACTTATACAAACTGTATAAATATATAAATTCTTAATTTATTTTATATATTTATACAGTTTGTATAAGTTTCATTAGGATTGAGTTTGGTGTATTACTATAGAATTCTGTAGTGCCATTTGAAGTGTGTAACCTTCCCCCACTCTCTTTTTTCTGCCTCCGGTCCATATACACTGAATTTGTGCCTTTTGAAAGGGACTTTGAAAAAGAAAAAAAGATGTGTGACTTGTGAATTGAAGATTTGGAGTACTTCCGGGTTTCGGCGGTGGAACGCATGGTGGAACGCATGTGAGATGGACAGGCGCATAGGATGACGTCATAGAAACCGGCCGCGGGACCGAAAACACCTGGATCAAATGAAGAGTTTTGTGGACATTGGGAGGGGTATAAAGGATGGAGGAGGGAAGGGTTTTTTATATTGTTCATTTGTATGCTGTCATTTCTGGTCACTGAAGTCCCTGAGGAAGTCCTACATACGGACGAAATGCGTAGGACCCCTGGTGGTGACAGAATACATGCATTGTTTTATATTTTGATGTGATTAAATTATTCTTTCTACATTTTTAAATGTGTACTACAGTTCTATATTTTTTTCTTTTTGAGCACACACCTTTTAATTGTTCCATGAGAGTTTAAAAGTGGTGGAAGAACTTTTCCTGGAAAAGCATTTATGCTGAAAAAAGAAATTTATTCTCAAGGCATTCTTATTTCAACAAAAGTGTGAGTGGCAACTTGTCATTTATACATTTGGTTTATTCATACATACAGTTATGCGCTATGCATTGTTCTTGTTATTCATTTAGCAGATCATCCTCTTTTTTGCTACATAAATCCTATGGGGAAGCATTGTGACTGGATCAGGCTACCACTTCTGATAATGTCAGCATTTTTCTGAGGCAAACAGCATGCAGAGTTACAGCTTCAGGCTTGAATACAGTAAGACTTTGCTATATTTATGGAGGCATGAAAGAGCCCAGGGGGGCTAGATGGTGGTGGTTTTAACACTATAGGGTCAGGAATACATGTTTGTGTTCCTGACCCTATAGTGATCCTTTAAGCCAAAGGTAGAACATTTAGAAGATATATATATATATATATATATATATATATATATATATATATATATATATATACACATTTTAAAAGCTATTTGAAGAATACTTTAACCCCTTAAGGACCAAACTTTTGGAATAAAAGGGAATCATGACATGTCAGACATGTCATGTGTCCTTAAGGGGTTAAAGAAAGCCAGGGCAATATTAGCTACACGAACACTTCAGAGTGCTGTGTTCCTTTAAACTACAACTATTTGACCATGTAATGTAGGATTGCCAAATCATCTATATTTTCTTGTACACGTATGACTTCAGTGTAAAAAACATGCTACCATGTAGCAGGAAAGAAATTCATATCCAAGACTGATCCCAAAGGGACAACTTTGATTAATGAATTTCCCTCCTGTAACATAGAAATACTTGATACTGCACAATAGATCTTTTCATATACAGCCCATCAGCATGAAGAGCAAATACTGGTCTGCATAAAAACTTGAAATGAGTCATTTCTATATGTTTCAGGATCTCTATGGACAACATGTTACTTAACAAATGAAATCCCATACAGCAAACTCATGTACAAAGGTTTATTCCCTAAATCAGGAATTCTGGTGAACTGAGCAGAGGATTGCCAATTTAACACCAATATAGTAAAAAAGAAACAAATCGCACATGGTTATTTACTAAACAGTGGATGAAAATGACTGAATTCCGAACGCAGTGGCAATTCTCATATTCATATTCACTAATATATGTTCGGAATTCAGTCGGGCAGAGCAAATCTGTACCAATCGTCATCATGCATTTGGTATTTGGATTAAAATCTGTGATTTCAAGTCTGAACCCTATTCAAAGTAAAGGATTGGGAAGACTCACAAAGCACAAATTTTCACCAAAAATTGAATGCATTCGGTGGGATGTATATTTGTTTTGAATATTTTTATTTTAAGCACATTAGGAATTTAGGCATCAAACTGATTTATAATAAGACAAATGATTGCCCACGCAGGGGCTGCAACATTGATCTAACACAGTATTCCTTTGGTTGCCTGCGCAGAGGCGGATTTGTTTTAAATGTTTCATTTGTATTTGGTGTTGCAAGTACAAGCAGGTAGTCTTTCTTGTTTCATGGAAAGCTTATGGTTGCCTGCGCAGAGGCGTTTCAGATAAAACGTGCTGGTACATTAGGAACTAGGATTTGCAACAGATACTTGCTCTACTAATCCACATGACTTCGTTCAGGTTATGGATTTAGACTATTTTTCCATTTGTCTTGTTGTTTGTCATCTAGCTGTGTGTTGCTAAGGGTAGACAGGTAAACGGAGTCGTTACCAGAGAGGCATGGTGGTGATGGCGTGAAGGTCTAAGGCTAGTCTTGGGGCGTGATTTCCCATTTCCCTTGGGGGCTTTGGTGGGTATTCAGCTTGTGTGTCTGTGGATGGCGCGTTGTTTGTGTTTTGTCTCTGTGCGTGGGGCGTGAACCGTGCCCCAGGTGGTGATTGTCGTCATTGTTTTAGGTTGCCCGGTCGGTCGTTACGATGCCCGAGGCCCTTTGTGGCTGCGTTGTTTATTTTCTGTGTTGGTGGTCTAGGGAGGCAGTTGTTGTCCAACCTATGTCTCTGATGGCTGCGGAACCCGTGTATGTATGTGTATGTGTGGCTATGCTCCTTGTGGGCCGTGCCTTGGATTGCTGCCCTCTGGTGCTTATTGTCGCCTGCAATTGCGTTTGGGTTGCGTGTGGGGGTATATGGCTTGAGTGGGCTGGTCGTAGGGTGCAGTGGTGCCCCCTCCTCTGTGGTAGTGTGTGGTCGTGGAGTCAGGTCTTCATGCGGTGGTGGGGCGTGGGTCTGAGTCTCGGATTAGGCTGGTCCGTGGGTATCTGCCTTTTGCATGGGATGTATATTTGCAAATTATAGTCCACTCTTTTTTTTTTTTACAAATAGTTAAAAAAAAAAAAAAATCCTTAGCAATGCAAGGGTTAATTATGTGGTGGCTGGCCAGCTCTTACTAGAACTATTAAAAAGTTCATAAATAAATAACTAGCTGGGTAGCCATGGTTGCCCAGTCGCTAGTTATAAACATTTACCAAATATGCCCCCACCTGCTGCTTGACTGGTGTAGGTATAGGGAGGTTTAAAACATCCCTTATGGTCAAACTGACCCCAACATTACCAACGTGTCACTGATTGCCTTTCTTCCATCTCTGACTGGATGTCCTCCCGCTTTCTGAAACAAAATCTCTCTAAAACTGAGCTCCTTGTCTTTTCCCCTCCTAATACTGATCCTCCTCTTTCACTCTTCCTTCAAGTTATCGGTATCCACACCAGTCCATCCTTGCAAGGGCTGTCTTGGTGTAATACTTGATTCTGACCTCACCTTTGACCTCACATCCAGCATGTTACTAAGTCTTGTAGATTCCATCTTAAAAACATAGCCCACTACAGTCTGTTATACTTATTTAAGTGTTGGGGAATCACTTTGGTTTTACACTAGTTTGACACGTCTTTAACTTTGAAGCGCCTGTCACACTTGAATTCCTTTTTTCTTACACTACAATGTCTATAATGAATGTCTATAATGAATGCTGCCACCAGACTGATTTTCCTTTCTAGTTGGTCATCTCACCCCTCTGTCAGTCCTTACACTGGCTTCCTGTATCCTATAGGAGTCCATTCAAAGTGCTAACCCATACCTATAAAGCACTGACAAATTCTAGCCCCTTTTATATCTCTTCACAGATCCATAGGTATGCCCCTTCTCGGTCTCTCCGCTCTGCCCGTGACCTTCTCCTGTCCGCTGCTCACACGCATGCGGACAACTCACGCTTGCAGGACATGTTGCGGGCGGCTCCCTTCCTATGGAATAGCCTGCCTAACGCCATCAGACTCTCCCCTAGTCTTCAATCATTTAAGAAGTGCCTTAAAACCCATCTCTTTAGGAAAGCGTATGGCCTCCCAGAGTAACCTCTACCTCACATACCTGTCTCTTGCTCTCTCCTAAAGGGCAGCACTCTACTCTCTCCTCCAGCTCTGCTTCACTCCCACCTTATTTAATTGCTATTTCCTGTCCTATTGTGTTTTATACCCCACCTCCTATAGACTGTAAGCTCGTTTGAGCAGAGTCCTCTTCAACCTATCGTTTCTGTAAGTTTTCTTGTAATTGTCCTATTTATAGTTACATCCCCCCGAAATTTGTTGGCGCTATATAAATGGCAATAATAATAATTAATAATTATTTTACAGGCATCTGTCATATGGTGCAAAGGGAAGCCTTATCTGATATAAAGGGCATGAATCACTTTGAGACAACTGTTTCATTCAATAGCTTTAGTTTTGTTTTAAATAAGCTTTATTGGTGTCAACACAAGCAAACACCATCCCACTCAGGGGAGTTTGACATTACCAAAGATACATTTCAAATATAAGAAATGGGTAAGAAAAATGAAAGGGATAGACATATGTATAGAAAGAATACATTCCAATGTGAACGGATTCTTCTTGAATCGGCATCATCTCGGCAACAGTCAAAATTTAACATGGGACCGTGCTAGTACCATTGAGTAGCATATTGTCCTCTTCAATGTGTCATGTCCTGCCCATCCCCATGTTATCCCCCTCTGCTCCCAGTCCACATCGGCTCTGATTTGCTCACCATTATCCTGTCTGTCATGACTGCTAGTGAGATGAGGGATGGGTCTTGTTCCTAGTAAATTTAGCTTTAAATAAAGCAGTTGCCTCACTTTGCAGGACTTAAATAGCAGGTACATATGATATTTTTTTCAATATTTACCTGCTTTTTCTTTTTTTATTCTTTCTAAACCCAGTCGAGGGGAAACACCGATTTAACCAATCAGTGTCATATCCCTAGGAATGCTGGAAAAAGTGCGAGGGCATACATGACAGATTTACACATGCTGCCAGGTGAAAAGATCTTCCAACTACACATCTTGACAGGAGGAGAAGTGAGAGTCTAATGAGTGTGATAATGCAGAGCAGTCATTTATGTCTTGTTTTTTTTTTCTCCCTGCTAGTGATGTCTCGAACGGTTCGCCGCGGATGGCGAACATATGCGCTGTTCGGTCCGCCCCCTATGTCATCATTGAGTAAACTTTGACCCTGTACCTCACAGTCAGCAGACACATTCCAGCCAATCAGCAGAAGACCCTCCCTCCCAGACCCTGCCACCTCCTGGACAGCATCCATTTTACATTCATTGTGAAGCTGCATTCTTAGTGAGCTGTCCAGGAGGTGGGAGGGTCTGCTGCTGATTGGCTGGAATGTGTCTGCTGACTGTGAGGTACAGGGTCAAAGTTTACTCAATGATGACGAATAGGGGGCGGACCGAACAGCGCATATGTTCGCCGAACCGTTCGGGACATCACTGCTCCCTGCTGCTGTACAATGATGCCCTGTTCCTGTCCTTCGTAGACTAGTCTGAAACTGAGAAGGGTGGGTAAGAGAGGGGGGCTGAAGAAACTCTCCTTGCTAAGATTTTTCCAACAATGTAATCTGACCAAGTTTATAGTAAGTTTATATATTACATACTATTTCAAGTTTTCTTGCTGTGTTTTGGTTTGTATATTTGTTTAAAAGTGTTTGCAAAATAATTGTCAAGCTATACATGTCCCCTTCATTTTTTTTATTTTATTTTTAATCCAGGCCTGAATCTGAAGCATTAGAGTCTGGGTTTCAGTTGCCCAGCCTAAATTTCAGTCGAAATTGCAAAATCAGACATTGTTAAATAGGATGAGCAATGTCCAGATATTGAAATCAAAATGGCCCTGCACACAGCCAAAAGGATTGTCTCTATAGGTATGGGGACATTTGAACTTTTCTGAATAACACTGTCAGGTATTTTTCCAATTTGACTGTTTCAAGACTTATTTACAAAAGTAAAAATAGATTCACAGGATTATACACTAACCAGTGAACTGTTGAAATTTGATGTGAAATTCAAATTTGGGGCCATACAAGAAACATTCTTGGTTATGTCTTCAGTTCTTTTTTGGACTAAAATTAGAAATTAATTTTTCACTCCCAACAACCGACCATTTTAACCATGACAGCGTTCGCAAAATAGTACGAAAATGATGTTGTATTTTCACCAGGTATTTACTAAGGTCACATGCACAGGAAAATGTGTTGATTTTTACCAGATTTGCATATCTGGTATCTAATTTTAAAAAATGAAATCCCGTACAGGGGGCACGGTTCACATTTTTATCAAACACATATCATTTACCACATTTACTTCAATTTGTTCTAGTAAGCGGCACCTTTAAAAACTAACAGGGTTATCCATTCACTATAGTGAGAATTTAAAATCAATTGAAAGGAATTTTTGAATTTAAAAGAACACTATAGGCATCCACACAACTTTAACTTAATGAAGTAGTTTTGGTGTATAGATCATGCCCCTGCCTTATCACTGCTCGATTCTCTGTCACTTAGGAGTTAAATCACTTTTGTTTCTACAGCTCTAGCCACACCTCCCTGCCTGTGACTGACACAGCCTGCATTAAAAAAGTTTAAATTTCAATCAGATGTTAACTTTATAAGTATTTATCTCCTGCTCTGTAAATTGAACTTTAATCACACACAGGAGTCTATGCAATAAAGTTAGATCCCTCTTTACATGAAGTGATTAGGAAAGCTAAACATGCAGAGAGGTGTGACTAGAGTTGCAAAAAACCAAGTGATTTAACTCCTAAATGGCAGAGAATTAAGCAGTAAGGCTGCAATGGCATCTATACACCCAAACTGCTTCATTAAGCTAAAGTTTTTGGTGCCTATAGTGTCTCTTTAAGGCCATACTGGAAGTATAGCTGACTGAGAATTTTTCAAGTTTGGCTATTTTAGCATTAATTTTAAAGGACCACTCTAGGCACCAAGACCACTTCAGCTTAATGAGGTGGTCTGGGTACCTGGTCCAGCTAGGGTTAACCCATTTTTTCATAAACATAGCAGTTTCAGAGAAACTGCTATGTTTATGAATGGATTAAGTCTTCCCCTATTTCCTCTCATTGACAGCCGCTAGAGGCGCTTGCGTTCTTCTCACTGTGAAAATCACAGTGAGAGCACGCAAGCGTCCATAGGTAAGCATTGATAATGCTTTCCTATGTGACCGGCTGAATGCGCGCGCAGCTCTTGCCGCGTGTGCGCATTCAGCCGACGGGTAGGAACGGAGGAGGATCGGAGGAGGAGAGCTCAGCGCTGGAAAAAGGTAAGTTTTTACCCCTTAACCCCTTCCAGAGCCGGGCGAGTATGTTTTCCTGGCACTATAGTGGTCCTTTAAAGTCTTCTGTGACAAAACCCCTATTTTTCCTTCCTTGTGCTGTGCTAATCCCCAGTCCAGGAACCTCTTATAAACTTTGTGTTTTACTTGCCTCCCATTCGGTATTAAAAACTACCGAACTAGGTCGACCGTAAACCCTGATTTCACTGAACTGTTTTGGGCATAGGACCATGTGCACAGTCGGTCAAAAATGTGACTTACATGAAAATCCCAAATTGTGGAATTTTCATGTGTTTTGGGGGTATTTGGGGGTTTTTGTTATATTGTATGGTTTTGTACCTGAGAGATAATTTAATTATATGTTTGTGTGCTCAGGTAATTATCTCTCCAGCACAGGGGAGAAGTGTGTGGAATGTTTGCTTGTAACTAGTCTCCTCTTAGCTCCAGCAGGGAATGCCCCTGGAATATGTTTAGGGAAACCCCTTGCATAGGGAGTTACATAAAAAGTGTGTGGCTCCCATTAAACACATTCGTTCTACCCCTTCATGAAGTCTAGGTACATGTTTGTGGGATTGGAGAGCTCTAATCACTACTCTGCTGGAAACAGGAGAGTTATAATTACTGCAGCACTTGGGATTCGGGAGACTACTAATGGATATATTCAGCCGGAATAAAGGGGATCCGCTACATCTTCTTTTTCAGTTCTCTGGAATTCCAAATTTAATGTATAAACTCCTATGATAAGTCACATAGGTTACTGAAATAATGGCTGTTTGTTTGGGGTTTTTTTTTGGGTGGGATGGTGGATGTTGCTTTATAGAATCACTTATTTAGCAATGACTGTTCTATCAGTTGCTGAACTATAGTTCCATAACTCCTAAGTGTCCTCATTTATGGTCCAAATACATCTGCCCCTCTTTTGTAGGAGCTCAATAGTCTTGGTGTGTGAATGTACAGAGCCCCACAGTAATAATACTTACAGTAATGTCTCTTTAACCCCTTAAGGACACATGACATGTGTGACATGTCATGATTCCCTTTTATTCCAGAAGTTTGGTCCTTAAGGGGTTAAACTGCAATAAAGGTGTTTAGAAATCAGTCTGTGTAAATAAGATGCATTGTTCGTATTCTAAATCAAATTGTAGTTGCATAAAATTGTATCAGTAAGTCACCAATAATTCCTCCTAATAGTTTGCCTATGGCCACACCCCTAAAATTAAGATGTCCCTCTTTATCCATTTAAATTGTTGGGTTTGCAGTTCCCATAATGCTTAGCCATCTATGGACTGGGCACGTAGATAACTAGTACTCATAGATGTTGCAGTAGCTAGTGGTGTAACTACTTGCTATTATTGCCCAACATGTTTAAAGAAATCCATTTTCTCAGGTAGCAATAGCTGTGCTGCTGAAGCATTCCTCAGATACATACATATGTATATATTGTTTTTCTTTTTATCAATTTGACAATTTTTATTGAGTTTTCAACAGTTGTTACATAAAACATGGATAATGAGGACAATCTATCACAAGGCCATCCTGTTTGGGTTACATCTTGCGCATTCGACTAGTAATTAAAATAAATAAATCTGGTGTTAATACTGCAAGTCAATGCTATTTGTACGTATATTCTTATGATAATGTCCTTGTCATTCACTAATGCTATTGGTGTATTTTAGCAAGACTACTTGCATAAGTCAGAGCAGTGAAACCTGACATTAACGTAACCTGTGATTAACCCCATTTGACAGTTTCTCTCCAAATTGCATTCAATGAGGTGCTACTGAACAGTGTAAACTAGTTTATGCTAGAAGTAAATTTGTAAAAGTAAATGTGATGTATAAATTGTTTTGAAATACTGCACGCACAGTGATGCAATATGAGCATTTCACATCCATCACGAACATTTTAATAAATATACTCTGTCTTATCTCATCTGCTGGGATTTGATGGCTGGAATCCATCCAATACATCAGCTTGGCCAGTGTTCAATTAACACTTTCACTGATTTGAATGAATTATATAGGGGTTGCCAATCACCTGTCAATTAAGTGTCCTGGGCTGGAATGGGATATACAGTTAGAATCTATTTTTCTGCTTCTTGTTTATTTATGCTAAACTTTGAGCACTTCAACCACCATGGATAATGCTGTCCATGAACAAAGTTGAGTTCTGACTTACAGGCATATTCACTAAAAGTGTGAATTGTTGGGAAACATAGCTGGCTTGGAGATTCTTTTCCCAGTTCAGCTATTTTTGACTAAAATTTTAAATTCTTGTTGGCTTCCTGACAATTTACACTTTAGTGAATAACCTTTTCACTGTACCATATGTATTTATTTAACAATTCTTACGTTTAAAAAGCTATTCACAGCATAGAAGTTGAGCAACAAGCAAGAACATTCCATAGCTATACATTTGGAACGTTGCCCCAAAATTATTTGTTAGGCATACTGTTTCATTATGTTTAACATAGCTTATTTATAATTCTTTAATTGTTTTTCATTTCATCACTAGTAACATTTATACTATTTATTATCCTAAACATAAACACACTTCTAAATGTGTTTTAAAAATACTTTCTATTCTCCCTGCCAAAAGAAGTCTTCTTAAAAATAAATTCTCCCACCTCTCCTTTCTGTCCTGTTACCTTATTTTAGAGGAGCTCAGAATGTACTTGTGTGAGTGCATCAATGAGCTGCATTGCAATAACATTTGTATTGAAGGGAAACTATAGTGCCAGGAAATAAAGGTAATCGTCCCCCGCCCTGTGGTGCAGAAAGGGTTAGAAACCCATTCTGTCACTTATCGAAGTCCAGCACCGATGTCCCTCTGTGCTGGCTCGAGGTCTGCCTCCGCTTCCTGTGCTCGCATTAGAACAGTCCCAATAGGAAAGCATTATACAATACTTTCATAGGGTTTTGAGTGATACTGGATGTACTCGCGAGAAGCGCAAGGACATCTAGCATCAGTTAGGCGACCAAATGTCGCCTAACGACCAGGAAGTCCCTCTTTTGTCTAGTGTCTGGTACAGCCACTAGAGGTGGAGTTAACCCATAAAGCTAATTTTTGCAGTTTATTAAAAACTGCAATAATTACCTTTCCAGGGTTAAGAGACCTGGTAATATGCACCCAGATCACGTCAATAAGCTGAAGTGGTCTGGATGCCTGTAGTGTCCCTTTAAATTGCGTTTAAACTATAGTTAATGTGTGTTTTCAAATGTAGGTGTGTAATTAAAATATATTATTTTTCTAAATTACTTTAATTATAGTAATTAGTTAAAACCCTGACCTTTTGCTACAGGCAGAATCACAACTCATAAAACAAAAGGGCCTTCTCAGCTATTTGAAACATTGGTTTGTGATTTCCACATGGTAATATGCCCCAGGACATATTTTGAAGCCTTGTGTTAGATTCCACCAGCAGTTTCTATAGACTGAGATATGTTGGTAAACAAATAATAGGCAAAGGGCACATGTGTTTTCATTTCACATTTAGATAAACTTCACTAATAAAATAATACATTTCAGTGCCAGGGCACAGATACAAAAAGAACTGATCTTAATATGGTTTAGCTCATTTAAAAATGTAAAAGCCTTACACTTGTAGCATTGACATAGCCACATAGATGGCATAATTTATCTTTCAACATTGAGACCTAAACAATATTTCTCAGCTATCTCTGTTGGGTTTTTTTTAACCTTAAACACTACCACTTTTTAAATGTTAAAAAAAAATCCATGATGAAAAGTCATGTGTAGATTTTTTTTGTTGTTGTTTTTATATTTCTGTATGTACATTTTATTTAAGAATGCATATTTTAATTTAGACATGTATATAACATACATACACAGAAGAGGTAGTTGTATCATGCAAGCGAAACAACATGGCATTTTACGTTACAAAAAACATAATGTCAAAAATTTTAACTTTAAAGCAACACAATAACCATTACATTGTCGCCAATTACAATTACCGCTTTAGTGGTTATGGTGCCAGGACAGCCCATGGTCCCTCCCAGAGTAACTAATCAACCACTTTAAGAACAGCTTGAGAATTTACCTAAGTTATTCCTGGGCGCCCCTCTGACATAGCCCTGTATCGGACTGTGCTTAGCTTGAGAGAGATATCCAGTATCTCCTGTAGAAGAATCCCAAAATAACGCAGACCCAACTATGACTACTTACTCTGGGAGCGCACTCCTGGTGGGCTGTAGTGGTTATGGTGCTTGGAGTGTTCTTTAAAACCCATTAAAAAATATGAATTGTATAAATTGCTTGAACTAGGTATATATAATGTTTATTGATTTTTCAAAATGGTAGCAGAATACAAACATGAAGTGTATAAAGTGATTTATAATGCTAGGGCAATGCAATTTTCTCCTGCTCTGACCCTTGCTTCAGTGCTTGAAAAGCTCCCTTGACTGGACCATATGAGCAAATGTCATGCAGACATCTAGTTACCTCTACTGGTAACCAGATATGGGAGCTATGATCCCTCATTTGTAAAATGGATTTTAAACACTTCCCTACTGAGCAAGAACGCGTAGAAAATATTAGTGCATATACATTCAACTGTTTAAAATCTCAGCATTGGGAAAAAAGAAATCCATAAAATTTGGGCTGTAATTTGAGATGACCATGTATTGTTTACCACATTTCCCCATTTAGTGGGGGAGACATGCTTTTTCAAAAAAACTGGTTGAATCGATTTTAATCACATGACTTCAGGCTGTTGAGCAATACAAGAAAAGTGATGACCTGCAGTATATCGAATTTATATAGTGCAAGAGGGAGAAAATTGCTTAATCAAAGCGAATTGATTTTTCAAAGTTTCCTACTTTTTTCCTGCATCACATGAATTTTGCATATTACAGGAGAAGCACTTTTCATGTAAGAAGTGGTGATAAGCATTTAGAAAGATATGGCTGACCTGTAAACTCTAGTTATGTAACACGAAGGCAGCTAACGCAGATCAAGTTGCCATCTGTGAATCTGTATATTGTCACATCCTGTTTCTAGCTGCGGATCATTCTGGCAATGGCTTCTGGTATCCAGTACTCTTTTTTTACAATTCTTGTTTAGTTTTTCTTGGTTTTTTGGTTTTCTATTCTATGTCTGGTTTTCTTTATGCTGGGTTCATTCTTATATTCTGTCCCTGGATTTCCCAGTCTCTTGGATTCATTTAAATGTTTGTTATATGTTGCCAAACCCGTTTGTTTTCCATTTTCCTTTTGTTTCAGTGTCCTGCAGGCAGCTGCTCAAGGCTTCTGCCCTTTCTTGCAGGTAAGTGCTATATATGTCTTCTTTGGTTGTTTTAGCGAACATTAGGCAGAGTATGACCTGCCGAATGTGGGGTACATTGGCGTTGTGGCAGGCTTATGCAATGTATGATCATATAATGTAACTAAATCCCCATACTTTTCATATATAGTGCTTAGTTATGTTGCCTCTTGTTTTGCCTATTATATCTTGTCTTGTTTTATTTTGTAATCCCAGTCCATGTACAGTCCTGTCCTGTCCCTGTTTAGTTAATGTTCCCTTATGTATTGTGTACATGTTCTGGGTTTAGCTTCATATCCTTCTCTGGTTCTGGGTTCTACTAGTTCTGTCTTGTTTTCATGATGCCTGTTCTAGTCTTGCCTTGTTTCTGTACTGGATACATGTCTGCTGCAGAGCCCCCCTATCCAGTTCCTGGGAGGTCTGCATATTTCCTAGCTCTTGTGATCTGCAGTAGCTGTATTAGGGACCTGGTATGTGGCCGCACAAACGCTGGTCCTCAACACCAGAAGTTGTGTGGTTACCCTGCACCAGGCCCTGCTAATCCACCTCCACACTGTGACTCCTACTCATATCATCAGACATACTGTGTCCCGGTCCACGCACCGCCGCCCAGGGAGTGTCTGGGTCCCGGGCACCGGACCGCCACCCTGACATATATACCCTGTGCCATTCTAGAGATGATTGTTTATATTCACAGTAATATATTGACAGCAAAGCAGTTTCCCTTTTGAGAATTGCATTGATTTGCAGTTTATTCTTAAACATCGGCACTCGAGAGGACAGATGAATTTTCCGAACTGGAAATGTGCATGCTACTTTGAAGTAGCCTTGATTACCTGCAAATTAAACTAATTTGATATAGTTTATATTCATCTAAGTCACTACTCTTGTAACGTAAGTGAGTCTAATGCTCTAGTTTCTGCTGGTATATAATGACTAATGAAACCTCCTGCAGAAAGTTTTGCAATATGCAATATGTGATTCGAGATCAGCGGGGAAAAAGACTATATCAAACAAAACATTTTTTATTTGGTTGATAAAACAAAGACAAATTAAATTACATTGGTGGGGGCTGAGAAGGCGAGAGCACAGAGAGTTATAATTTAGTAAGAAATTATAATGTAATGGAAAAGTAGGCAGAGACACAGAAAGGGGTAGTAATTGAGATCTTTTATGTACTCCTTACAATACAGATAGGTTTACTGCTACTAGAATCTACAAAAGACATGGTTTTCTCTCAGTCCCCAGATACACCTGCCACTTATTGTAGGACAAAGTAGACACATTGGAAACGATAGCTAAAGTGGTGAATTTTTCAGCTCTGCTAGTTTGGTTTAAAACTTTCCATTAGTATTGTCTATTCTGTACATTCTCTGGTTTAGTGAATCAACACCATTATTTACCTTATACAACCCAAAACAAACAAAGCCATAGATTTTGCAAGCATGTTAATGTTCCTGTATTGCAGTTGATTGATTTTGTGTATCTATTAGACTTGCGCATTAATGAGTTTCAAGTGGCTTGAACAAATCGAATTCCTTTTAATCAGGTCCCCAACTAATCGATTTGTCTGGGGTTTACCTGTGGAGTCGTATTTATTGCATACAACGCCAGAGTTAAACCCCAGATGGATACATTTGTTTGGGCATAAATTAAAAGCATAAAGCAAAACAAAGTGAAAGTGTACCCAAAATATCCATGAGTGATCAAATTTACCCTGTAATACAAGATTATTTTCTACACACAATTTGTTTCAGCACCTTTATCACTATATTATCATATATAATGTATAGATTAAAAGGAATTTGATTTGTTCAAACCAATTGAAACACCTTAATGCACAAGTCTAAAATCTATTGGATTTAATCTTTAAATGATCACACGCAAATTCTTAAGGTACGAGATATCCAGAAAATCTGGTTATAACTTATAAGTTTGAGCACACTGCTTTTCAAGGGTTTCTCAAACACTATGACCACCTCAGCTGCAATGGTGCCTGGAATCTGTACGTGCAGCACTTTTCTTGCTTTGAAACACTACACTTACTGAGTTTCACCCTTTATTGCTCCACCTCTGGTAAAGTCATAGGGGAGTCATTAGCCAGCCCGGAAGAAGAGTTCCAAGCTGACTAATGTCAATTGTGTGCATATTCACATCAGTCAACTGACGCTCTCAGCCAATGCAGAAGAAAACGTTTCAAAACTGTTTGCCCTTTTCCTGGGAAATGGGCCAGGGTTACAGTGAGCTGTAGTGGTTATGATACTTGGCTTAGCAGATCTGTAACTTTTTAGTATTTCATAAAGATATGTATATTTATTTTTACGAAATACTGATCAAGAATATGTTGGAATTCCATTGAATTTCCAAAACAATCCAGACATACTATAAGACAAAGTAGGGACTGCTCTGTCTTATGGACAAGACTGAGGTTGACAAAAGATGTCAAAAGAAGAGCTTCACTATCAAGTTTTGTCCATTCCAGGCACAAGTGACGGCAGTGGGATTCGGCCATTGTCTATGTAGAACCTTCCATCAATCTTAGGGTTGTACTCACGCTGCTCCTGGAAATTGAAGCACCAGGAGTTGAAAAGAAAACTCATTGTGAAGATGGCTGTGGGCAGTGAGACACAGCTTGAGGTAAGTAAAAATGACCTTACCCTGCTCCCCACGGTCACCAGGCCCACACTGAAACTGTCACTTTTGGGGGTCTTTGTGTAATATGCAAAGAACACAGAAAGTAATAAGTCCACTTTAATACTTTGTATGCAAGTTCTAGGAAATGTATTTCACTGGTAGCTAATGATACATCAAAGATTTAACAAACTGGCAATTGTCCATAATCCTCAGTGTGATTTGTCTGTTAGTGGAATTGCCTACTTTATGTTAATCATGTATAAACTGTGAATATTCCTTTGGGATCACAACTCTAACAGACATTACTTGAGCTAGCAGGGAATTGTGGTTGTTGTAGTCATAATGAGTCCTAAGATGTTTGTGTGCATTTTAGGACGGAAACAGTTAACCATTTTAGGCTCAGAGCCACTCGCACATAAAAAGGCTAGATCATGATTTAACATGTTTTTTTTACCTCTTTAATATTGCATTGGCAGTATGCATTTATAAGCTATTTTAGTACATGTAATTATGGAGAATTGACAAGGCAATTGTAAATTTTAAGCGGAAACAGCTGAATTAGGAAAATTCTTCAATTAGTCTATTTTTCTGAGTGGGCTATTTTAGCCTAACATTTCCAATTCCCTCCTTAGATTTATAAAGGACTTTAAATCACTTTGATTTACTCATTGTCAGATATGGAATTAATGTGCTATCTGGCAAGATTAGAAAACAAGGTAACAAAATGCTACTGACAAAGTGTCACTTCCACTTAAAATATTTTAATCCGCCTTCACATCATGTTATTTAGTTAACACTAGACTTGTGCATTAAGTTTTAAACTAATTGCGCAGTTTCTCAGAATTTCAGGTGAACAAGTCATCTGAATTCTGTAACTCTGAATCACCAAATAACTGAATCAAGAAACAAATAAATAGAGGAATGAACAAGCCGTTTAATTTGTTTTGTTCGGAGTTCTGTCCTTGGCACAAAATAAATAAATAAATAAAGATGATGATTGATAGGTAGGAGGACACTCACTAAATGTTGATTTTATCCACAGATCAATAGAGGGGAAAAACGGGGGAGCAGCATATGTAATTGGAAAAATGAATTTGCCCCATGAGTCTAATGTTGTAGATAGAATTTCTCTACTTACAAAATGAGTGTACTGATATATTAAAGTAGTAAGGACAATTCCCATTGATATTGATGGATTTAAAAAAAATAAAAAATAAAAATTTATGTATTTATTTATTTTGTTAGAGAGGGGTTAATTCATGAATTATGATTTTGTGGAGTAAAAGCTTAATTGCAAAAATATATTTTTCCCACTCCGCTGTAATCTCAGCTTGGCTATTTTTGCCTAAACTTTGCCCCTTCAAAGACAGGGTGACGACGGGGCAATTAAATCTTTACTGGTTCTTAGTAGTCTGACTTTTAGCCCTAAAAAAATCCATTATTATTATTATTATTATTATTATTATTATTATTATTATCATCATCATATATATAGTGCCAACAGATTCCATAGGGAGGGATATAACTATAAATAGGATAAATAACTTACAGGAACTATGGGTTGAAGAGAACCCTGCTAAAATGAGGTTACCCTTACATAGGATTATGATATATATGTCATTTATCTATCATGTTTGCAAAGAAAACACTTTGGGGGCCCTTTCGCCAAAAAGCTATTTGAAAACAACTGCAATATTTGGGGAAAAATAGCTGGTTTTGAAACATTTTCCAACAGGAGTAGTAACAGCTATGCTATTTTAGCTGTAACTTACACACTACTCCATTCAATTCACTACAATTTGGGGTACAGTTAATAAATCCCAGTGTCTAGCATGCTGGTATACACTTTTGTCTTAATTCTGGTTCTGCTGAAAACTGCAGTCTTTTAGGAAGATTAATAATTGAGATACGTTGAAAGGAGCTTTTTAGGTGTACTACAATAGTAATTCTTTGGAAGAGTATAAACGTAAAATGCCTCCATTAAAAAGGTAATTTTAAATGTCCAATAAATATGGCGACGTTATAATGACACACTGCATTCATATGGCCACACCATCTGTAAACGGACATAATGATTCATATGGAAAAGCACATCACTATAGTATTCTCAGATTTGCATGTGTCCACGGTGAGATTTAGTTAGGAGTTGTTTACATTTCATTTGTTGTTAACCATAACCATGAATTCCCCCTAACCAAAGGGCTTCTTATAATCAAGTTATCCCAGATCTACTATACATTGCTTGTACTTGATATATTATTATTGTGTTGTTTTGCTGCTGCAGTCATGCACCAGCCTCTTTTTTTTAACTTGACAATTTTTTTATTTTTCCAAGCATAAATGGGGTACAAAAAGTAAGAGGGATAAGAGGGTTCATATTAAATAGTTTCACAGTTGCGTGTTACAGGTACAATGCACCCAGCCTCTTTAATAGAGACTTAACTTTTTCAAATAAAGATTATATTATTTTTTAAAGGGAATATTTAGAAAAATGCTTGTTAGATCAAATATATGACCCACTTCAAATCTCTCGCTTGCAAATTATTTTTTTAAATTGTGTTATTTCACAGTATGCCTTATTACAATTTGAAATACTCTCATCTTACTATCATTCGGAATGTCAAATTGTGTCATGGGCAAGAAGTGACATTTGCTCCCACTCCATCTCAATCCCAAAAGTTAAGTCCCTCGTTTAGCGTTCTTATAGTTGTCAACTTTCCATAGTATATGGGATCAGAAGGGCCTAGTATATGTAACCTTTGAAGAATGGGATGTATCTTTTTGATTTTGTCTTTTTTTCCAGTTCTAGAACCATTTAAATGGATGCACAAATGTTCTTTGTTGATACAAAACTGATCTTTGATTAAGCACTTTTAGTTATGCATCAGGCATATGCTGTATCCTTGCAGTACCCCCATCCATTTCCTCTGAATGGCAAAAAAAAATATGTATGTGTATATACATATATATGCGTGTGTGTTTACAGTATATGGATTGATAACTGTTAAACATTTTTGGGAGTGTTGCCTACTTTTTCAAATATATATATTTTTTTCTGGTTTTCTGGGCGGTGAGGTTGTTTGTTTGTTCTTCTGTTTTTTGTAAGCAAAACTAACTTTGTCTATATTCTATCAGAAATTATGTTTCTGGCAACATTTACACATGGCAAGAGCTGTATGAGGTTTGGGGTCTAGGAGTAAAGTTTTTCTAATACAATTCGTATTTATCTCAGTTTAACTGTTTGTATACTGCTCCAGATTCCACTATTCCACCCTAAGATGTGCCTGTAGTGTTCAGTGATATGAAAAATGGTGGACGTAAGGCAGGCAATTATTGACAGCTCTGCAGCAGCCATTGGTTTTATTGTATTGCCCTCTGTGGGCTAGTTGCTCCTCCTTCTGCCAACTACAACATGCAACATGTTTGCCACATATAAAGTTTCACAATTTTGAGTCACATGTTTCCTCCAATACAAAGCATCATAACCCATTTAACAGCCATTCACAGACACCAAATGCCAGCCTGAACAGTTATCCCTGCTTCAATGTATGCCTATAGATTCCAATCTCATAGCACTATTTTGCCACGAGGCTTGTATCAATGTGTTCTCGTGTAATCCCCCCTCCCCACTCCAAACACACAAACAAGCACACACGTAAAATGAGCATGCAAGTTATAATTTCTTACCTTCTTTGGGGGGATTCGGATCCCACACTGACCACATCTGGACGAAAAAGAAGGGAGTCCAGCACAAGATGTAAGCTATCACTATGATGAAGGTCATTTTGACTGTCCTGATCTTTGCCTTGGAGATAAGCCGGACACTGCTTACTCTAGAAAGTGTAGCCCTCCTGTTTGAGCTCAGCCTCAAATTACTTTCACACATGGTTTTCAGCCTAATGTTCTGCCAGATCTTGAAGCTGATAAGCCCATAGCAAATGCTGAGAACAATCACAGGGACGATGTACACAGCTAGAGTTATCCATGTGATATAAGCTTTGACACCCCAGGGTTTAATGAAATCCGATGTGCAGTCATAAACTCCATTCCCTACCTCTTTTAGGGAGAAAATTAGAATTTGAGGAATGCTAAGTAGAAAACTGACAATCCAGGTGAGCAGGACATAGACACAGTCAGATCTCCTGTGCAAAGATCTCAAGGGTTGACAGATGGCTAGACACCTGTCTAGGGACATCAGCAGGAGCATATAGGTGGAAGCAAACATCCCCACCACCTGTAGGTAAGTGATCAGCCTGCAGAGGAAGTCTGGGGCATAGAATCTGAACGTTATGTCCCAGATGAGCTGAGGCAGAACTTGGAACAGGGCGACCACCAAGTCTGCGATGCTCAGGTGCTTCATGAAAAAGTACATGCGAGAATGCTTGTGTCTGTTTATGTGGATTCCAATTAGGACACATATGTTCCCTGCCAGAGCCAGAAACAAGATAAGGGCTAAAACGGTCACCTCCACCTTGGCGACCTCTTCATTTCTCTTCAGGGGGTCCCTGGTTTTGTTGGACCCTTGAGTCCTGTTCTCCTCCAGGCTGAAATTTCCCCATGATATGTTGCTCAGAACGCCCGGACAGTCACTGCTGAGGCACAAACCTTCCATGTCCAACTGTGAAAGGATGAAGTTCACTTGGAATCCTAGTGGAACTAGCTACAATGTATCATTCCATAGAGGTAAACATTAGCCCCTTTAAGCCCAGTGACCCTGGGTAGAGGGTATTCCTCTATGTTTGGGTCATCAATGCAGTTCTATATCCTGTTTACAAGCTCAGCTCCATTGATTATGATGATGATGATGACGACGAGACAGAGGTGGTCTTTCAGCCCCTCCCTTCCCCAGTGGATTTCAGACCCCCTCCTAAAAATAGCCAAAAATGAGAGAGAAATGTATTCTGTGTCCTTTCAACTAGAGAAAGGCAATTGATCCCACAGCAGTACATGCAGTCATATGTCCCATTTTTGTCCTTTTGTGATCAGAAATCAGAATCCTAGCACAACTGATTAAGTGGGTTAATAGTATTCAGGTCTTGGACCCTGTTCTCATCTCCTGTCTTTAGATACTGAACTCTCTGTAGGTTTTGTCTGCACTAGACCCTTCAGCTTGTCCCTCCAAGAGAACATTAAATATAACTATGGTATTCATCCAGTATACAGCCCAGCACAGCCCCCTCCCCACCTCCTGCACCAGTTTGAGTAGCTATCCTCACCTCTCTGAGATGACTGTGCAGGTCCCTCCCTACTCCTGCCAATCTCCATACATTCACAGGATAAGACCTCTGCTGCTATTGCTGTTTGGATCTGGAGAACCTCTTGAATAGTAGTGCCCCCTCAGCTTCACACTTTGCTTGCGGACTGTGAGAGAGTAAGATAGAGAGAGATTAAAGCAGTAAGCACCAGTCACTGAGAATTCACACTGGGTACTTGTGGCAAGGGCTAAAAGGAAACATAAGCGGACGCTATAGTCAGTGGCCACTAGATGGTGGTGCAGATTGCGATTCATTATCTCTTTCCCTCAATGCGGCTGAGAGGGGCTGTGAGTCTGCATAGTATTGATGCAAGCGGTAGGTCTGCTGTCACTTGTCTGGAACAACAAATACTGTGGGGGATGTTTCAGAAACCTATATTTATTTATTTTTGCCAATTTCAGTAGCTAGCCGAGTTTCCTGTGTTGTCAAAACTTGGGATGTTTAAAATTGGAAGATCCTTATGCCCTTGAAGCTATAAATCACTGATGTGCCCCACTGCTCACATAGGTAGACAGGAATTTAAGTTGGAACTTAGATGGGCCCACCTGTGGAAATTACTGATGTGTTCATGATGATAGAATCTACCCACCTTAATATTTAACTATGAGCCAATAATTTCATGAACATGTATAGATGGGGACAATGCTTAAGCAACCAGAATTCTATTAACTGTGGAACAGTAGCAATCACAATTTATGAATTGTTCCTGCTTTTGTTTTTGTTTTTAAATCATTGTCCCATAAATGTTCTTGGTACATAACCCATGTGAGTTACCTTAATGGGAATATATATTCAAATACTAATTGAAGCCAACATGTTCTTGAAATTAACCAGCCCAGCACATCATTTTACGTTTTATATATTCTGCATTGCTAGAAAAGACAAGTAAATGGTTTTAGATATTAAGTATTAAGATATTTTGATACTGGTACATTAGTGATGGGCTCAATTCCCAAACTAACAATCTGAATACATATAAGGGTTTAAAACAATATTGGCACAGGGAAGCACAGGATGCCTGCTTTTAATTCTATATTAAAACCACACTTTTTTTGTGTATAGATTGCATTTCAGTTAAAGTTAAACTTTTAAATTATATAAATTCAAACAATGTCTATTTTTCACTTATTAGCCTTTATATAAATATTTGGGGAATAAAAAGCTGTAGACCGTATAGTGTATTTTATCTTGCAATATCACACAGGGTGTAAAATATTCTGCAAGAAAATCTCATTACAGTAAGTGTCACAAAAACAGATAAATAAAAGTGGTATATATATGTAAGGACCCTGAAGGCTTTACTAGAACTACAACTTACTAAAAATGACAAAAGAATGTCTGCACTTGAGCATAATGCCCACATATATTTCTGAATCATATATTTTTTAAAATAACTGCTATAGCAATCTTTATCATTCTCCATACTTCTGATGTAAGGCTAAGTGAAATGGTTGAATTACTCCTCTCCTTGTAGGAATGTTTACTGTTTAGAAGCAGGGTTAGCAGATATGTTCAGCAAACTATTACCCATTTAATCAGTGACCAGTAGCTTCTTGCAGAGAAATTCGTTCCTCTACAGTCTGGTAATCATTCCTAGAGTATACATGAGGGTGAGTGAGGCTTTTTGGACTAATTGCCATTCTGCAAAGTACATAAAAGTAAAAATATGTATACTTGATTGTAGAAGTGATGGAGTTAACTAAGCATCACTGTCATTGAGGAACAAAAAAAGGTGTCTTACTAAATGCCAAAAACAAAATGCTAAATTAGGACTAAAATAGTTCAATTCAAAAATACTCCAACTCTGTTATAATCAGAACACGGCTATTTTACTCTAAATAGTGGTTTTTTTCAATTCGTTGTATTTATTGTGATTAAGCCCATCCATATCATGTATTCTATATCATTCTTCTATATTGTTATTCTATAAAACCAACCTTTAAACTGTGGAGATTATGTTTTGCAACAGATCTCTCCAATCGTATCTTGTGTTTTAGTTCTAGAATCAAAGATTTTCAACTATTCAGCTGTTGCTTAACTTCCTTTCCCATAATTCTTTACCAGTGGTTGGCAGGATAAACATTTGAGGGGTTTGATAATGATACACAATTTTTTATGTATCTGGGATTACTCATTAATTGAAAAAATAAACACCAAAAAAAAGTAAAAAGCAGTTCATATTTATGCATTAATGAACTCTGACCAAATTTTACTACCAAAAAAACCTGATATTGATAAGCTCTGAACTGAACCCAATACAGACTGATCAATACTGACTTGCTCATAAATTGTATGGGAATGAAGTCACAAGCAATAATCAAATTAGTCCTGAATTAAATAAATTAGTCAGCCTGCACTACAGACTGTTCAAACAGAAAGCAAAGGGCTAAATATTATTACAATGAAGTGGTGGTTGGCACTGGATTAAATTGCCATACCCCGTAGGTAGTAGTATAAGCTCTATAAGAGTTGTGGGGGGTGAGGGAGGGGACTCATTAAACCCCCCCCCACACACACACACACACACACTCCTACCAGGTACTTTATCTTAATACTTATAGTGTCATGTACAGTGTGAGGTAATGGGGGAACCAATAGCTTGTTAATAGAGGGTTCATGGAATTCCATTATAAGTTGTTTTTTGTTTTGTTTTTTGCCCACTGCTATTTACTTTTTTCTGTCATTCCATCTGCAAAAGCTGTTAAGCAAAACATATCCAAATGTCCAGATTCAAGGTCTCTCTCACAGCTTTGTTTAAAACCTGGATATTTTGGAGTGCTCTGCACATTTGGAAAGTATGAAATACAGATATATGTGGATAGCACAGGGATGTCTGATGATTAGTGGGAGATTCTCACGCGTGCATGGATCGCGTGACAGTTTCACGTTGACTTTTCTGTGAAGTTTTTGAACTAAAGCCAACATTTAATTCTAAACCATATGTACTTTCATATGCCTGCCGTGTCTTTTCTAATCACCACTCACTTCTTCTTATGATGTGTTTTGCAGATAGAGGAGAACTCTCTTCCTAGCTCTGATGTTTTCATATATCAAGTGTAACATTCATGGGGTGCAGGAATGCATGTCTTGTACACGCATGCAGGATCAGATCGGTTCTCACTATTCAATGACACACAGAGGGTTAAGGAGAAAGAACTAGTATAGACAATTTCTAAAAGTGGAGCAATCATCAGAAACATTCAGTAGGTTTCCATGGGGACTGTTCCAATAATTCAGCTTCATTTGTAGAACCAATGAGTGTACGGTATTTCAATATTGGAAAACAATCCAAATTAAAGGAGGATGTAAGATAAATACATGGCACTGAGTAAGTTTATATTCAACAACAGAGTTGTGCAGGCTGGTCCCCTCCTGTAAGGAATTTCGTCAATGTGCCTTATGGCTTTTGATGAATCAGAATTGTCTTGGGTCGGCTTGGCTTGGGGATCTTAAACTGTGGCCCTCCCTGATGCTGAAAGTCTACAACCCCCCCGATTTCTTTGAAAGCAGTTTGATGGCAAGAGAGTCATGAGAGTTGTAGTTCAGCAACTCCAGGGTGGCGGGGGCGCAGTGTTTGAGATTCCTGCTCTATAACTAAGCTCTAAAAGCATGAACTACACCACGGCTTTTATTTATTTGTTCATTTATTTAGGGTAGGGGGAGTTCTCTCCCCTGTTATGATTCACTAAAAATGTTGATCTCATGAGAAGCACATCATAGGTTTTTATTCCCATTTATTCCATGTTACTGTCAGATGCACTTGTGCTGGCACTATGGATGTATTGCCAAATGAACAATATTTTCTGCTGCTTCACAGTGGTGCCATCTTTTATGTACATGTACATGCACATGGTACCTAAGCAAACGGCCAGTGTTCCAACCTTAATTCACCCTTGACACTAACAAATGCCAGTCTGCCTTGATATCTACAGTGTCATATCATTTTATTCACAGTTAGGAGTTATCACGCAGCTCTTTTAAGATGAACAGCGTTGCTTTTAATAGAATACAGCTTTCCACAGCTTTTAAAACCTCAGACAGCAGAGGACACAGGTCAATTAGCGGTCAATTGCTTCCTCTACCAGGGATACCTGCATTTTCCATCTCTTTACAGCCTTTTCCTGACCATGATGGGAGTTGGAATTCACAGCAGCTGGAGTGTCTCACACCCACTCATGCGCTCAACTCTTCTCCCACTAGAGTCCAGACTTGAATTTGTTTATTCGAACAGTTAAGAAAAAAACACATCTGTCTGTAAAGAATTCTTAATGTATAGATATGTAAAACAATGACCTAATTCTAGTCCACCCCAACAGAGCATTAATCCCATGTTACACTTATCAGTACTTATTACAATCAAACTAAGAGTGCATGTAACTCTACCCGCAGCGTTCAGTGCCAGACAGCTGAGCAACACTTTACAGAACAATGGGGCTTATTCACTTAACTGTGAGATTTAGTGATTAAACTATAAGAATCCAGAATTAACCCCAATACAGTTTAGCAGATTTGGAAATGTTTTTTTCTTTGTATCTGGAATAGGACATTTCACTCTAGGATTGAATTAGGAATTTTCCACAACCAGCCTACAAAATTCTAGTTTTTGCTTGGTCAACCCCCATAGCAATCAACAGGTTAATATTTTTCAGACGTCCCAGATTGGCATTCAAGTTCGTACATCATTATTTTAGGATTACATGTTCAGATTAGCAAGAGAATTGAAATTCAGTTCATTTTGCTGGCTGCTACTAATTATCATGACATTATTTTATCTTACGAGGCTACACCGTCTTATAAAGAGGTGAAGGAATGGCAGCCATTTTAAAAGAGGAAGTCTGAATGATGCGCTGATATGGAACAGACAATGGAAATGTTTGTATTAGATATTTACAAATGCAATTGTATTCTCAGGGTAATGTAGAGTCCGCACTCTACATATGGCATCCATTTGCTGACACACGTGCTTTAATGGTACTTAATGGTTAAAGCATATATCCAATGTTTTTGATTTTAACATAAGTCTCCAATTTTGCCCTAATTTTTGTTTTTCTAATGTGTTCTGTTCATAAAGTATTTTTTTTGTGTGTGTACATTTAGGGCCCACGTTAGCTTGTGGCCCTTCTTTCTAAAGGCTTTCTACAGTCCAGTCTG